TGGGAACCCGAATCCCCCAAAGCCCCAAGTCTTCCATGACGTGCTTGCCTTTTTAGATTACAAATAAGCCTTGCAGCTGTGAGGTGCTGAGGTATCTCAATCCTAATGCAAACAATGCTTCTCCGCTGAATCCCTTTTACTGATTTTCACAAAGACTATATGAATTTATTAATGTGTTTGTATAAGATTATATTACCTCTCTTTGTTGCATTTGTCAAATTCTGTGTGCTTCCAGATGACAGAACAGGACATTAGTCGGACCACACTGGCTGTTTTAAATGGCATGCCAAGCATTGCCTTCCTTTTCAATAAAAGCAAACAGTAGCTCTTGTTTAGCAGCATTTTGGACACTCGGTTAAAAGGATAACAGCTCCTACTTTAATGAACCAATCCCTTCTGAAACTCCCACAGTCCTTTGGATGTACGTCTCTCACAGCTTTCATCTGAGAGTATAGATGGCATCACAAGCAGTGCAATCAGATACATTTCACAGCGTTTTTTTAGGCTCAAGTGGCAGATACTTAACTCATAATAAAGTGGCGAATATTGATATAACTGTCTGGAGTAGAAGAGTGGGTTTCAGGATACGAAAGGTTGCATGCTGTGTTCATTATTTCCCACACCCGTGAGAAATAACAAGAATTGTAATAATGAATTTTCACAGAATACTGTCAGTTCATCATCAACATTACTAAATATCTCAAGGACTTAAACATGGTCCAGCCTCTGCAGACACACAGCACATTCCCAATTGTCTGGAGTTACTGCTGAATGTTTGTCACATAAATATGTGTGTCACTCCAAAGACTTAATCACATCAGCAATGTCCGGGTATGAACCTGCCCAACAATGTCCTGGACTCCTTAACTCCCCCCAGGCCTCCATTTTGGAGCAGTGGTTGTAGCTCTCAAGGACATGGTTGAGACTGCCACCGCTGCTTTTGCTGTTGTTTTTCTCCCCCTTTCAAAACAGCATGGCTATAATTACTGTCGGCCCAGCTCGGCCCACGCCTGAGGATGGCTCGTGTGTGTGTGTGTTGTTACAAAGGCTGTGGGTTGGAAGTTCAGACTTCTCTGTTGAGCTCTGGCTTACCAAGCAATAATTTCATAGTTCCTAAACGTTTAGGTAGAGATATACGAGTGCACCTTTATCGGCTAAAACACTAGTTGCAGCATGGTCCTACATAAAAGGACCATTCCTTGTCGTTTTTTTATGACGGTTGCGGGAAGAGGTTAAATAGATTTAGATTTCTGAAAGTTAAGGTTTTTTGGAAACAAGATGTTTTCCAATGTGAGATCCGTGCTCAGATATCAGAGTGGGCGGCGTGTCTCGTGGTCAGAGAACTTTGAGCGAGCTGGCAGCAAGTCAGACAAATGTGGCATCGACGCAAACACAAAAGCAGTTTAGGCCACAACACAACATGTTTTAAAATAGCTTTGCTCATCCACAGTGGATGCAACATATTTTCTGGCACTTCATAGTGTACTCCCAGACATTTCTACATATTGAGGAGGAAGCTGGTTTCATGCTCAATCAGAAATCTAAAATATTTTAAAAACATGGGCGAAAGCAGCCTGTGCTTTAAAACTATTTTACCAAGAGACCATGCTCCAGAGCGGCTGAACTGATTTTTGTAGAGATGAGCAGTAAATTAATTAAGTGATCAGAAAAATACTCTGCAGTAGCTTTGATTAAAGGAGACAAATTCAAATCAATACTGAGTTGCAGTGTCTCCTATTTGAAGATAAGCTGCATAACTTTTCTTAATGTCATAGTTTTATGAATAAATGTCTTACTTGGTTTTATATATCAAATCATTATAGATAAAACAATCTGTTAGTAGAGATAATTAGTGACATATTAGTCAATAATAAAAATCAATGATCATTAGTTGCAGCCTTGCGTTACCCGGTATTCCTAGGGATTGAAAAGAGGAACCTGGCAGATATTCCCTACATGACAGCTTGTCTGTTGTCTGATGTTAGAGGTGTATAAAGAAAATACAGTTTGGCAGAAAATGTTGCCGTCCTGCTATGTAACATTTGTCACCTCGCTGTTGCCAGAGGTATCTGGAAGGAGTATATTAATACTGCCTTGCCTTTTGTATTCTCACCGCAGTAAACTAAGGACTAAATTACTTTTCACTTCCTGTTAAGCTTTACTTTCTTTCTTGCACTTGCACTCTCGCCAAATTCCCTATCCCTTTTTTCAAATAGAGGTAGCAGTGCTAATTGGTGTGTCAGTTGGAGAACAATATACACTTTAAGGATTTTATGAACAATTTATTAAAAAGCATACTTATAAACAAAAGGCATCCAGTGATGTGCTACCTGTGTCATTAACTCCTCTTGTGGTGTTCCCGCTGTTGCTGCCTCAAGATGTAAATTGTGTTTTTGAAATGAAACTTCTCTGTAGTTTTTTTGCAATGCAGGACTAAAACCAAATGTACTATTTCCTCCAGTGCAGGCTTTGGATGAATGCCAGTCGTTTTCTGATACCATTGGTTTTTGCCAATGCTATGTTTGTTTCAGTGCTGTGATTCTATACTGAGCGTATACTGTTTACATGACAAGCACGGTTTCTGTTATGATACCTAGCCAAGCTTTGATTAGGCCGCTGATTTACAGAGGAAAAATAAATCCGAGACCTAGAGTCGGTGTGGTTAATGCTGTCGTCTGTATTCTGCTCTATAATACATGTACAAAAGAGAGGAGTTACCTAACAGAGCACACAGGGGAGCTTGGAAACATTATCATCCATCAGCTCCAGCCTTGCTAAAGCACATGAATAATTAGTCAGCGTGGTCTGTTTTGATGTGGCACAGTAGAACTATTAGCTTTGATGGTAATAATATACAGCTCGCTTACTCGCGTAACTCATGCTGATCCATTGCAAACTTTTTTGCAGGCATCATGCAACGCTGCAAAGAGTTATTCCTGCAGGTCCTATACATTTATTAAAAACAAACAAGGAGGGGTATGTTACAGTGTTTAGAAAGACACAGTTTTTCTTTGTCTTGTCCATGGGTGCTTTTATAATTACTTGTAAAATCAACAACATTTAAGTTTGGAGCCCATCAACATGTAGCTCTATTAGGTAGCATGAGCAGAGAAAGATGCAGCTACAGGAAGTGTTTGGTGTTCCCTTTTTTTCCAACTAAATATCAGTATACCTTTATCTTTGCAGCACTCTGTGAAGATTAAATTAAGCCTAAGAAGGAGAGGATAAAAAAGGGGGGAGAAAAGTGCCTCGCTCGTGTGCCTCAATTGCAGTGCAGAGGGAGGGTTATTTCAGGAGCTGTAAGTTGTGGCCTGCTATTCTCGTTGCAGGCATATGTGCCATTGATGGGTTTGGGTTTCGGAAATCCTTTGCTTTATGCTAATCATGCGCAGTGTGGCAAGCAGACAGCTCTGGTGCGGTTGAAGTTGGCATGTCTACTCTACACTCTGCAACGCTGCAATTACATTGGTAGTGAGAACAGAACGCTGAATATAGCGTATCCATGTAGCAGTATCTTTATCCGCTTCTTTTCTTTTCTTTCTTAGTTTGTGTATAAATGTTTGAATAGTCAGCAACTTAAGCTTCTTTTATTTTCACTTCAGTCACATCCTGGCTGAAGTCCCCTCTGTGTGATCGGTGTCACACAACATCAATCCCTTCTACTTAAAATGAACGATAAAGCTCAAAAAGAACCTTGAAACTCTTCAACTAGCAGCAGGAGGTTTTCTGAACTTCCCTTTTTCTTTTTCAAAGAGTGCTCAGGACTGGGGGGGATGTCTGTCTGACTTGACTGTTTATTCAGCTTGTGGAGGATTTAAAAGCAGAGTATCAAGGCTAGGCTGCTGTTTGGAGACTATTTGCAGGCCTTTGTGATATTTCACAGTTGTACGGCAGTGTGGTGGGCTGTCTGGAGACTGGTTTGACCAAAGAAAGGAAAGACATACAGGGGCCTGCTCCAGATGCAAACTCTTAACTCAGGGCCGACTGATGAGATAACCAGCAGGGTTCAGATGATGTCACCCAACAGTGACTAGGGATTGGAGTTTTATAAATCCAATACTGTTTTACTGTCAAGGTGTTTTCTCTTTCAAGGTGTCCTTTTGACTCTGACCAACTCCACCTACAGTAGGGCTGTGCGATTATGGCAAAAATCATAATCACGATTATTTTGGTCAATAATTGATATCACGATTATTAAATACGATTATTTACTTTGAAAACATCCATTTATTAAACTTTAAAACAAATACAAATAATAATTTGAACAGTATCTTTTTAACTGTTGATTACCCTGAACGTATAATTCAACTGAAAAACCAATACAAAAATGATTAAATAAATGATAAATATATATTTACATTTAAATAAATAATATCAAAATAATAAATACCAATAAACAAGATCATCAAATATTTTGGAGCGCACTTCCACAAGCTACTAAACATATATAAATATGATAAATAAAAATAAATTAGACAAAAATTCATTAGATCAAATATGTTGCAGTGCAGTCATAACCTAGCAAAGCAAAATAATAGTTTTTTTCGATTATGTTGTTTTCGTAATTGTGGCAGGCCAAAATCGTAATTGCGATTAAAATACGATTAATTGCACAGCCCTAACCTACAGTTAGTCCACTACATAGTCTACTGAAACTGAATGTTTGATGTCGATGTCAATATTTGAGAGTTCAAGAATCCATATTATCAACAAACAATAAGATGGAGATATATATGTTTTTTTCCTTACTGCCTTTCTGGCAAGGTCCCATAGTATTTGGTTTATTGGGAATTGTGGCCAAGAGTTGTTTAACTTGGTATAAACCATTGCTTGCTGATCATTTTTACGCAACCTGTAACACCATTTTTGAGTTTGAATGGTATGACTACTTTATCATTTAAAATAGAGAGCGAGTTAAAGTGATTCACATGGTTTTTTTGTGTATGTAATTCGTTCTATATATCCTTATAATAAATATAATTTATTCTTGTCTCCAACAGGTCTGGTTACAACTACTTCAAGGAAAGTGGACAGGGAGCAGCAAGTTGAGCACATTCTTGAGGTAAGCACTTTATTTTGTAAATGTCTCAACTCTAAAGGAAAGAAATATGGATCTGTCAGTGTCAGCCTCTTTCATATATGTAAAAGAAAATGTAAAAACATGATAATATTTTCTGTCGATGAGGTTTGGCATTTCCAGACAGCTGTGGTTGAGTGCCACATGTTGCCAACAATAACAGTCTTAATGCGAGACATGTCCTTTTGGAATAATTTACCTAGTAATTTCCGGAAGGGGTAGATGTGGGAGGCGTGGGGGAGATCCTGGTGACTGCTCCTTTGTTCTTTCCCACTCTTCCGTTCAGTGGATGAAGCAAGTCGGGACAGGAAACTGTTGTCAAACCAACGGGCCAATGTCTAAACTTGTGGGTTTTAATTGAGCGGGGCTCTGTCCTCTCCTGGTGCTTCACTCCCTCTTTCGCACCACAGACCCAAGGTTGATAATAAGCATTTTAATTTTGTTTCCAGGGCTAACAGAGAACAGATTGAACACCTTTTAATTATTGTTAGAAGTTAAACATTTCAGTGATCACTGGCTGACGATTCATGCTGGTGCATCTGGTGCCAGAGCAGCGTTGTATTTCATACTCTGAATGTACATCGCACTACACTAATTGCATTACGGTACTGAGAAAAGTATAGGGATTAACGTAGGGAATAACAAAAGACTCTGTTACTATAGGGAAATATTGCGCTGATAAATGTACTAAAATAACAAGGTTGGTATCTCTACCTGTTGAATATGTGAAGACTACTGGATAAAAGTTCAGAAAGAATCTTCCAATGCAAAGTTCCTCCATCTAGCGGTTTGCTCTAGAGACGTACAATTGCTACTTCCATGTGGTTGAAAGCTGTTGAATTACTAGGTTGGAATTGGCGTCTGATTCAAAGTCGTTGTGTCTGTAATAAGAAAAAGGAACTAATTCCCACCTTAGCTAAACTGAGGTGAACATTTAGTTCATTATTCACATTTGACAAAATGCCTCCAGACAGACATTTATTAACCACATGAAACACTCAGCTCAACTCTGGTCGACTGTAATGCAACGCAAAATTCATCACGCCTGTTCTCAATGTCGTTATATTCTTACTTTTTTCATAATGTTGTTAACTAAAGCTTACAATGATATCAGATCAAGTTATTCCAGTGCACAAAGACATTCCAATTTTCAAAAAAACTACTTTTAAAAACTTTTTCTTGCAAATTCCTACTTTGTATGAAATGGGGGGATAATTAAAGCAAGTAACTTTTGACCTGAATTGGTAGAAAGTGGCTGAGTGAACACAGCCTGGAAAGAGCTGTGTATCCATGGCAACTTCAGAAGTTTGGTCACTGATTATTGGGAATCCAGCAGGAAGCTCTTTATTGGGCCAGACATTCATGGAGCAGCAAACAGCCCTAAAGCCTACAATTTGCCCTCTGCACACCCACACACACACACACACACACACACACACACACACACACACACACACACACACACACACACACACACACACACACACACACACACACACACACACACACACACACACACACACACACACACACACACACACACACACACACACACACCTTAGTGTATCCTCAGGGCAGCTCATTGAGGCATAATCATGACTCAGAAGAATATATATGTGTGTGCACATGCCTTTGTCTCTGCTGGCAGAACAAATCAAATTGATGCCCTAACTAGTGTTGAAGTTTTTGTACGAGCTTGTTGTAGGAGAAGAAACGAAACATGTGGGGCCATGTGGAACATGTGGAGCAATTAGGGTGGGGGCTGTGTCAGCATTGTTTGCACTAAATGCCAAAAGGAGGTGGAGAGAGCACATGGGGGGGGGCTGCAGCTTAATGATGAGAAGCATGGGGGTTGGTAGTCGTCGTGTGCCTGTGTGTGAAAGAGAGAAAGAGAGCTAAAGGCAGAAAGGCAGTGGGGGAATTTTAGAAAAGGCGAAGCTGCTCCTGAAGGTCTGAGTGTGGGCTCTGGCGGCAGGATGAGAGGCCTCTGTCCCAGGGGGGAGGGGGTTGGGTAAATAGCTAAGCGGGACACGCCAGGACATGCCAGGACATGCTTAGGATTCAAACATGGGACTGTGAGAGAAGAGATGATAATGGAAAAGCAGAGGTGAATGGGCTGCTCACATCTGTTGTCTGGAACCTATCCCATTATGCAGTTAACAAGATGCAGTGCACCTGGAAAATAGCTTGTTTAGCCTCCTCGACCAAGACATTTGATCCTAGTCTATTTTCCTGATTAAGTTGACTAATGGAGTCTTTTGATTGGTTATTTTGTCCACCCGACACTCCAAAACACAAACATACAGGCAATGTGGAGCCAAAGAGACAACACTCAATGGACGTGAACAAAATTCTATTTTAAGTATTCTTGTTAGGGTTTCCATTGCATCTGGGTAACTATAACTAAACACTAAAACACAAAAAAACCTTTTATTCAATCTTATCACTCAGAGGAGTTGCTCTTAAGGTTTTATGTCTCCTTTAAAAAAAATCATGCAGTAGGACACATCCTCAAATTTGGAAGGATTGAAACAATGAGATTTATAAAAAATATTCTCAATCTAGTTTAGCAGTAATTAAAGCATTAGTGTCTCTTCTTAAATTCCCGTTTGATTATAACTGTAAAAGTTAGTTGTGGAACTTAAGCTTTACTTGTTTTCCTCCACACTTTATGGTCAAGCACAATACACATTGTTATGATAAACAACTTCAAACAACCTACTTGGTTTGTCCTGATTTCCAGGTTATTTGAATTAAGATGAAGTGCATTAAAACTAAATGATTTGCATATGGCCGGTTAGATGAAACTAGAAGTTTTGCAATATATAATCAGAACATTATGGAGCAGCTCCGTGCATTTCCCTTCACAGCAGTGTTATACTGATGCAATGAGACACGCTCCCTCTGGTGTAACTCCCTCTGTCTTTTTGTGTAGTTTGCCTAATTATCAAACAAAGGCTTTTGATTAAAATGTTCCAAAGAGAGATGCGTGGTGATGAATAGTGTTCATGCACGCAGTTACACACTTAGCAGTTTGATGAGGTACTGCTGGGACATTTCATTTTAATACTTAATAGGCTCCCATCCATAAAATGTTGAAAAAAGCCTTAAAGGTATTTCATTTAATCAGGGATTTGAAGCACTATACCTTCACAAATAAAGCTCATGTGATAGTAGGCACTGGTTCGTTACACAGCACATGATGGGCATCAACATAGGCAAGGTTTCTTGTCATCCCATTTAATAAGTTCTGATCGTGTGTATAGCACGGACAGCTGCACACACTGCGAGAAAAACAAAAACACATTACTTTGGTAATTGAAACGATAGCACCAAATGGGTTGTGCTAGCCCTGGACGGTTTTTAGTGAAGCACTTAGCAGATGGCTCCAAATGACTGTGACATTTGTTCTGCCCTTCTACAGTATTTTGCCGCTTGAAGCGCAAAATGCTCACGTCTCTGACAACACTCAAGGCAGCCCTTGAGCCCATTTTTCTGGGACAAGATGAAAATGGTGTTTGTTTAGGTCAGCCTGTGGCCCCCTGCTTTTGATTAAACTCCTCAAACTGTGCACCCAAATGTTTGTGGACACACCGGAGTGTAAAATCATGTCACTAATTACAAAAGCATAAGCAAGCCACCAGTAACGCTTGATGTCATGACTTAAATGATCGTCTCTTTAATTATTCAGGTTCGTGACACAGTCTTTTATACTGAGTTCTTCTGGGGTTTAAAAAAGCCCCCGGCCTTTAGCTGAGCGCAATAAGTCTTAATGTTTATTAGCAGTGTAAAATCGTTGTTTGCAAGTTTGACAAAGAGCAGAGTCGGTGCAGCTGCTGCTATCAGAGTGAAGAGGTGCAGCTAATTAAAAATAATTAGCTCTGGTGGGTTGTTCGTGCTGCAGCCATACAAGCTACTGTTATCATGATCACAGGCTCACATAAACTTTATTTCAGTTAGGGAAATGTTTTTAGCTCACCCTAACACAAACATAAATCATGTTTACTTAATACCCCAACCCTTGCTAGTGACTCTCCAGGGGCAACAGCGGGTCTACTGTTATTTTTCAAAGAACAAGACACTTATTTTCCTAAGTGATCTGTAAATTGCATCACCATGTGCATAGGAATTGACTAAATACAAATAATCAGAAAACCTAGAAACCAAACATTTTTGCTGCATTCTCTCTAAAGTAGGGATGAAAATACACAACATAGAATTTGGTCTTTTATTGTCCTGCTAGAGATTATGATTTACAAGACTCAGAGATTTGTAGTTTCAGTTCTTTCTACGGTGCACTACTGTGGGGGATTTGACAAAACATTTAGTTTTAACGAAAAATAATGTGTAATATAAAATAGCCCCTGCCATTAAACCTTAGAAGGAGTTGCCTTTAAGTTTGGCTGCTAGTTAAGTTTCTGAGAAGAAGTGGAATGAAAGCATAATAAAGTTATAAAGCTTGCTTCCCCCTTTTCATCTGTGCTTTGATTTAAGTTAGACTTTGGAAGTATAACTTTCTTACACGGCGGTTTTGATCTCCTAAGTTTTACATAACGTTCAATGCGTTCAAATCGTTACTGTATCTGTCTTAAGAAGACGAATGGGCCATAGAAGACATGTAATGGTATCTTCAATATTTGCTTCTTTGTTTGTACGTACTTCTTGTTCTAAAGTTTTTATCCTTTCTCCTCAGATCACAGTCAGTGACCACGGCGTTCCTGCCAGATCCACCACTGTCCGCGTCATCGTCCGAGTCCTGGACGAGAATGACAATAGGCCGATGTTTTTGGAAAAGATCTATAAGATCAAGCTCCCGGAGCGAGAGAGGCCGGAGAAAGAGAGAGCCATGAAGAGAGACCCGGTGTATCGGGTCATTGCATCAGACCGGGATGAGGGACCGAACTCCGAGATCTCTTACAGCATCGAGGAGGGAGACGAAAGCGGAAAGTTCTTCATCGAACCCAAGACCGGCACGGTTTCCTCCAAGAAGTTCTCTTCTGCTGGAGAATACGACATTCTTACAGTGAGTTTCCAATCCAATGGCTTCACCCTGTCTTTAGCCTGATGAAAGAATGATGAGCCTGAAGTAGTTTGCTTTATTACGCTGGTCATATTACTGTGTGGTGCATTCATCATCAAGAGCTTAAATAGCAGAATTAACCCGTAGTTCAGGCATCACAGTAGACTGTGATAACTGCCTAGTTGATACTGATATAGACCTAGATTTGATGTCCCAACACATGCACAATTGTGTATCCGGCTGCAAGAAGACACTGCTCACCATAGTTTACAGTAATTTAAGTCCACACAAAAGGTTGAATCACAAAAGACTAACACACAAAAGGTGTTTTGTTATTCAAAAAGGCATGGTTATCTCGCCGTGCTGACAGCTCAGAGTACAGAGAAGCTTTTACGAATGAAACCCATTCTGGGGAGAACATTTATATGAATTATATGCCACTTTTTGTGCATCAAATCAGTGGTTGAACTAACGGTATCTAATGCACTTTGCAAAACATTTTGAATCTAGATCCACCAGAGACATAAACGGACATGTTCATTTTCCACGAGAAAATTGCATGACTCTTTACTCTCTATAACATCTTCAATTCTCCGCCATTCCCTCAGATTAAAGCCGTCGACAATGGACGTCCTCAGAAATCGTCCACTTGTCGTCTGCATATCGAGTGGATTCCTAAACCACAATTGCCCGCCGATGCAGCTCCCCTGGTTTTCGAGGAGTCCCCCTTCACATTCTCCGTAATGGAAAGCGACCCCGTGGCCCACATGGTGGGGGTGGTGGCCACAGAGTCCTCTGATGTCCCGGTGTGGTTCGAAATCACAGGTACTTCCTCCCTAACATTCACCTCTGTCGTATGTAGAATGGAGAACAACTCTTTTTAGGACTAACATAGTGTTTGTGTGTAGGAAGTCTGGGAAATTGATGGTATGTTTTTTATCTTTATCATAGATATAACAGTCCAAAGAAGTGTTTATTTTTTGTAATAACAGTATATAGTATTGTCACAGAGCTACCGACAATTAGAGAGCTTGCCAAATTTGTATTTGATTTGGTTTGTTGTTCTCTATACTATCAAATGACGTAGATAAATACAGGTATGATGTGGGAAAAAGCTAAACTAATCTAGGTTTAATGGCAGTTAGTTTAGGTTATTAGTTAACCTGATAATTACCAGTTGTAATTATTTGGAATTTGTCAGCTATCTTCAAAACCTTGAACCGTTTTTCTCAATTTCACTGTTCCTGTGGTACTGCATGTTGCTTTTGTATAGCTTATAATATATAACATAATTGAATCATGAGTTAATAGCTCACAAACTAAAAATATTGATATGTGTCCTAGCTGACTTGTGTGAGCCAATGCAGCATTTTTCTTAACAATTTGAATTGGCAACTCTGTTTTGAAGTGTTAAAACTGAATTTGTTCTCTCTTGAATGTGCGTTGTCTTTAAACTGCAGCTCTGATAGGCACTTTATGCACGAGAAGACTTACTGAAAATGGACTGCTTTCACAAAATGCTTGCCTCTTCCTTCCTCCCAGCCTGTCCTCCCTCTAATCAATGTCTGACTGACACGTCTCTTTTCTTCTCTTCTCTCTTTCTTTGCTCTGCTTACCTCTTTTTTCTGGAATGTTCTGTTTGGTTGGATTTTTTTTGCAAGACGGCATAGAGGACACTGAGATGTTTTACATCCTACAGATGGCTTGTGACCACAACTGTACAGCAGAAGGTAGCTGCTGGGATCTCCTAACACTCTGTGCTGTATTAACAGTTCATCCCACACTGTGTGTTGGTGCTTCATGTTGGCTGTGGTTGAATTGTGTTGTGCTTCTGGATTGATGTTGTGCCACATTTTCCCGCTAAACCCATGACCTGATTAGGAGTCTCAAGAGATAAAGGAAAAACCTCTTACCCTTACATTGTGTGAATTACAGCTCCATTTCGTATCATCTGTTGTGGTTGAACCTTGAGAGTTCAGCATCTGTTCATCCACTGTATAAAAGGACATTGTGTATTATACATTCATCCCATGTGTGTGCCCATCATTCATATGTTGATGTTAAACGCATGAACAAGCTATTATGTGAATACATTTGAGATAAACAACACATTTGTACCACTAGTAAATTATATCAACAACAGGTTATCTGTTCATTATCTTAGACATCAGCACAGATCCAAATTGATGTTTGTATGCACATCTCAGCACCCCCGTTTCGTGTTTGGGTAACCTTGCTAAAGGCACACAACTAAGCGAGGATTTGTCTCTAATCTTTTGTTCTTTCTTTGTTTGCACAAAAAAAAATAATTCCACAGGTGGTAATTATGACAGCCGCTTTGACGTTGGCAAGGCCAGTGGAACCTTGATTGTTGCACGGCCCTTGGACACTGAGCCGAAATCAAATTACAACTTGACGGTGGAAGCCACGGATGGGACACGAACTGTCAGCACCCAGGTAATTGAAACCCTAATGAAACGTTTGGAAGCTGATGAGGCAGTTGTCATGGCTCTGTTTTTCTCTTGTGACAAATAGCAAAAGGAAAGAGACGAGTAACGAGTGAAAAATTGGCCAAACTGTCCTGTTTGTGCTGATATGTTTATGTTGTGATGCTATCATTGCTCTCATCTAGCCCAGGAAATGACAGTTAATAGATTTACTTTCATACATGACCTGACTTCTAACTGTATGATGTGACCTATTGAAAAAAAAGGACGGATAACACAAAAATATTGGCTAGGATACAGAAAGACTTTGCTTTTTTAATCTTCTAATTTTGTCTGATGTTGACACCTGTTCGGCCGAAAACCCACCGATTCGACATGTTGAATGTTGCAGTCGGCCAAAGGCTGTCGGCAAAAGAAATCACTCTGATTGGCTGTTCAGCTTAGCGAATCAGTGCACGAGAAGCGAAACGGAAGTGAGGGACCCCAAACGAACTATTAAGAAGGCAAATCTGAGATTTCATTTAACTCCAGCTCTCGACACAGGTTCGGGAAAGCCCCATGAGCTTCTTCTCGCTGTAGAGTGAAAATGGAACGCACACGCTATTTGTTGTTTGTTTATATCACGCAGTCTGTTCTTCTTCTCTCGGTTATCACGCAGTCTGTCTTCCGGTTGTTGCCTCTTTTGAATGACGAATACACACTACCGCCGCCTGCTGGTAAGGACAGTTATTGCCACTCACGCATGCGCAGTTCGTAACGTGCTTCTTGGCCGTCGGCTGAAGTCTTTGCGGTGTGTTCCAGTGCGACACATGGCCAAGACGCAGGAGACGTGAGGCGACGCAACAGTCGGGGGTCCGTCTGTGTCAGTTCTTTGGTGTCAGCTTGGTGTGTCCGGGCCTTAGCATTGAACAGACTCCCAACACCTTCTAGGTGCTAAAGTAGGCAGATATCTTACCTTCTGAAATAGCCTGGCTAGCTGTTTCAACTTGTATCTTGTCTTCATGCTTAGCTAACCCACACATCTCCTGGCTGTAGAATCATAGTTACTGTACATCTCATCTTACTTATCTAATAAAGCAAATAAGTTGATGTCCTTAAGTCAAGCCTCGACTTGACTTAAAGGTTCTCATTTTAACATTTGGAGCAGAGAGTTTGCCTCTACACAGCTCTCAAGATGGCTACTGCTAAGTCGGACGGCTAACAGCTAACATGCTTACAGCACAAAAGGCGACTCTGCGATTGCTAACAGTTACCTTACACCCTTAACACGCACGCACTCGGCTACACAAACAAAACACTCAGAAGCTCAGATTACAACACAAAGAGGGACCACGACTCTGTTCACGTAGACATTACTCCACCAGTTTCACAAAGAAAATCATATTAGTACCTTTTAAATTAAATGATCCTTTATGTGTTTTTAGAAAGAAAACACATTCTGAAACAGACCTCATGAAGACTCTCCTGTTAAACAAACCATGATATGGTTCAAGGTTCAAGGCTTGTTATTTGGCATACGTACATAGCTACAGTCAGGGGTGGACTGGGACTACAAATCAGCCCGGGACTATCGACCGGCCCACCTCGGTGCTGCAAGTAAATACCGCTAGTAAATTGTCGACGGGGGGGGTGCTAGTGACTTATCCGACCGGCCCACATCGTCCCGAACGTCCCGATGGCCAGTGGCTACAGTGTAGTTATGTCGATTAAAATCTTGCGTCACAGGCTCCTCCAACAGTGCAACACAATAAAACAGAAAGACTGTTGCAAGTAAATACAAAAAAAATTGTGAAATAGTGCAATAAGAGTCTATTTAACTATTTTACTATTTTTTTTGTAATAAGGTAGTCAGTGTTCCTCCTCCTCTGTTCCCTACCATCTCAGTTGAGCATTGAACTTCAGGAATCTTCCATTGTCTCATTCCTGACGCAGAGCTGCTGTGATGATGGTGCCGTCTAGCCAGAGGTTTTTTTATACATTCTTGAGCCCCCTCTACTCCACCCTCTGCTGTGTCTAGAGGAGCAGATTGCCACGGTCTTTTCCGAATGGACTCTAAATAACAAAATATATTAGACTCATTCATACACAAGCACTCTCAGGCTGTAGTCTAGACACTGCAAAATCAAATGAAAAGATGCTTTCTCGCTGAATTATTATTTTCTGTGAACTATGTGAACCGCTTTGATGGAAGATGAAACTAAAACTTCTCAAAAACTTCCAAAGCAGTTGCATACTTGTATTTTAATATATGAATATGCTAATTTAATCCTTCTTGCATAAATCTGGCTCCCCAGCTGATACCGAAGCTGAGCTGCAACGATAAAAAGCTTTTAAGCATGCAAGTTGTCTCTGGTTTTTGTTCCGATCGTCATGCCTTGTCCATGAGATTTTGAGGATTTTTATATGGTAGTTTGGGTCATATGGGATGGTGGCATTCAAAATGTTTTGTCCTTTGTCCTCAAAGGGGGCTTCAGAGAACTGTAGCTGGAAAAGAATCTATTTGTTGTCACTCCGTATGAATAAAGCCTTTCATCATCTGGCTGCTGTGCTCCACTGAGCCACTGGCATTTCGCAGCTCATCCGAGGAAGCGGCACGTATTTGAGTTTAGTGCAGAACCTTAAAAACAGCCTCAGAGTACCTGTTTTATCAGCCGTGATTTTGTCACCACATAAAGCACTTTCTTAAAAGCCCTGGCAACAGACACTTATTCAAAAGCCTCTCAGCAATACTGCATGCAGTGACATTTTAAGTCAAATTAATCACATTCAAAGGTTAACCTATTCAGAAGGTCTCATTCTCAGTGGAGCATGATTCTCTGTGGGACTGACTTTACAAGCAACCCTTTCACATCTCAGGAAATGATTTAATTCAGTATTCAGATAAAAATACGCTATTGTTTATTACATTTCAAACCACACCCTTTTTCTGTTTTGTTTTGTTCACACAAAGTTAATGAAATAGTATCCAATACAAAGGTAATGCCATTCACCTTGATTTCGTTTGTGTAAACAATGTATTGATACATTACCAAAGCTTGAGCACAAGTCTTATTGTGGAGTTGAAACATATTAGAAAACTTGGTGACTTTGGCAGCCTATCCTAAATTGGATTTCATAATCATACGATCATAATCTATTTTCAAAATGTACAGCATATCTTACTTTACATATCATACTTTACAGACTACCTCAAAATAATCATAATTTGTATCTTTAAAAACCATCGCAGCTCAATTGAAGAACCATTTGCAAACAAGAAATAGGTCCAATAATAAGCTCTTGTACAGTATATTGAAGAATGCTAGTTGCAAAGAACGGTGCTGTGTTTTGCACTTGCTTGCATATTTCGAATGTGCGTATTTTCGTATGTATTTTAGAGGTTTGTCCGATAGGTTCTCTAGTAGATGAGTGTGTAGTGTAGACCCAGCTGACCACTAAGGGTCAGCTGTTTTCCATAGAGGGAACGGATTTACTGAATTTGTATGCTCCATAAACCACACTTGTTATGTGATTTGGGCCTGTTGCCTGGGACATGCTGAGAGCCAAATAGGTGACTGGAAAAGGCATACAGCATTATCAGAGACTGTAGCAATCCCCAAATATGGTAGGTTAGTAAAAAATCCCTTTTAGCTGAAATGTATCGTTTGTTGTAATTTCTACAAATTAGCTGGTAAAACCCCTATCCTGTCTGCATTCCTTTTTTTTGGAAATCTGAATTAGATACAAATGTGTCTTTAATGCAGGATCATAATTCCTGCATATTTGATATATCACATACAGTACTTGTCAGATGACTTGCACATATTTGTGGGAGAGCCCAAAGGATTCAGCATACTGAGTGCCTCTTGTTTCAGGAAATACATCTGAGTGTTTTGGCTACTAACTTGTTTATCCGATAACATTGTTCAGCATTGACAGTATTTGCTCTGTCAGCAGGATTTTTTTTAACAGAAACCGAAAAATGTAGCTCTTGCTGGGAAGTTAATGTTTTTCCTAACAGTGAGAAACCAATAGTGCAATATGTAGTTTTTAAGTTAGATTTACTTTCAAGGCAGGCAAGTTTTACAACGATCATGGTTACTTCTTGATTGATCATAATAAGTATTAATCATGAAATGTATTCATCTATGGATCAATATATGAAAGGCAAATGTTTTCTATTGAGTCCAAAAAAACGATCATTCCATTAGGAAATAATATGCAAAGTATAGTTGTTTGTTGTTGAATATGAACTGGTTTTCTTTGGTGGCAGCATTTTTCTTAACTTTAAAGTCATACAGAATGTCACTGCAAATGAGATCTACCCTATCACACACACGCAGCGCACCTCGTGAAAGCTGGAAAGTTAGACTTATCTGTTCCTCAAATCAAAGTCATGTGGAGGCTGTGCTGCCAGACAGGCTGGCCTATTTTCTCTCTCCTTGGAATGTTTTTTTTTCCCTTTCCCCTTTTTGTTCTCTCTCTCTCTCCTTTTTGCTCTCTTTGTCTTTCTTTAGGATTTTTTCCCTCTTGAGTTTTAAAAAAAGCTCCACATTCATTGGCCAGGCATGATGATGATTATTCTGTTTGGGTATAATAAAAAACGAACGAGCACTGGACCTCTGTGGGTAGTGGGCTGTGTTAATCCTGTTTTGGGAACATGTTAAAGTGCTCGCTGCCAGTCCCCTGCCTTTGCCCAGAACCTGCTACCTGGCAGGGGGGCTTCCTCTCCGACGCATGGCACAGGACGACAATGAGCCCAATGAAAGCCCCCCCTGCGTCCTATTGTGGATACACAAAACACAAAAGGTGTTTCATCATTCGGAAGGCTTTTTTGTCATCTCTTAATCACTCCTTTGTTTTTTAAAGCTTTTAAAATGACAGTGACAAAGAGTCAAATAAATCAGAACATTTGAAATAGTGTTAAGCCTAACCTGCATGGAACTCCAGCGGTGATATCACTATGAAGCTCGTAGTGTGTGGGAGGTCTATGGGAAACAGTGTGCTGTACTGTTATGTGCTTTCCATTCGAACATTGTAGTTCTATGAAGGCGTCTGTGAAGGATCAGCTGATTTCAACAAGGGGTGCTGCATTCTAGCTCGGGCACCTCATAGCCAGGAGCTGCGCCAACAAGGCAGGCTCGGCAGGCAGCCCAGCCTCCCTTCCCCCTTCACCAGCTATATGACATCCTCCCATGGCCATGCAGAAGTACCTCAAGCTGTTCTGCTCACAATCTGTTCCTGGTCTCCTGTTTCTCATGTTATCTCCGTCCACATTACAAAGACTCTCTTTGTGTCTCACTCAAAGGTTCACCTTATCCACTCATACTTATAAGACTTCTTGCCCTCAGTATCAAAGCTGACTATTGTATCTGGGACTTTTTCCTCCCTGAACTTTTGTTGCATTTTATTTAAAGCCACATTTTCTTGGTGTATGTCTTTCATACACCTACTTCCTATGTTTTTTTTAATTCGTTTTTGCTTTCCTCTGGTTTTCACTGTCACTTCTCTTTCATACTCCCATCTCACCCTCATAGCACTTTTTTCTTTAGTATCTCCATCTGTTACGTTTGAGTCTCAGTCTCAATCTTGTTCCTCTCCAGCACTCCCAGAGCAAGCCATATACAAAGACTGCAGACTTTTCCTCTTCACCAGCATTTCTGCTGCAGTCAGACTGTATCATGGTGCTTTGTAATATTTGAGGGCAAAGTTCCTTTGAAGTGTTGTCGAGCCTCCTTGCGAAAGGGAAGGCGAGTTTGTGTACAAATTGAGACTGAATAGCCTTTTGTGTGCTTTCTAAACCATCTGAAATAGTACATTGTGGATATATGTGGATACTACTGACCAGGTTCCATTCCTTTCTGCTTCTTGACGCACTATCAGCTCTTGCCACCTTCCTCACTATTCACAACGTGTTATCTGATACTGGCCAGATTGAGACACATTGGACAGCGTCTTTGTGTGGATGTATGTTAGGAGTGCACAATTTATGAGCCTGTGTATCTGTGTGTGGGCGCATGTATGTGTATCTGTGTGTGTAAAAGGTGGAAGTGAGACATTGCAGATCTGGAACTATATGATGCCTGGCATGACATGAGAAAACATGCTTGGAATGAGATAGCTTGTCAGCACTCTGTGGGTGCAACATACACTAGAGGCCCAATTTCATTCCCCTTTTCAGGGTTAATTCCTTGTTAGAAAATATTTTTCACGCATCCTGATTAGCAGTGTGACATGGGCTGCTCATGACTCGTGGAAAACAGCCAGTTCACAGCAGCGAAAGACAGCGTGCAGCCCAGCGCTCCCCCTGCAAGATGACATCTGTGAGCTTCAGCAGCATTGCCAACATCCCAGCACACAGCAGATTGTAAATGTTATCAGTGCTGTCAGGTTGGGTCTATATTTGTCTCTGATATAGGCTCATAGCGATCAACAAACAGCATTATGACGGAATCAACAGTGTTGACCACAGATCTGACAAATCCTGGTCAGCTAGTGAGTTGACAATTGGTCAGAGCTTTTGTGACTAAAGTCCTCTTCACTGTTCCTGCACCAGCTCGCCTTTTCCGCTTTCCTTACGGGACATCACCCCCTGGTGTTTGGTATGCAGGTGTCTAATCTGGGCTGATCCCTTTGTTCCCCATGTTTGGCAACGGTAGAAGCCCCTCTCTGGTCTGGGAAGCAGAGATGGCATTCCAGCAGCTCTCCATAATCCTCTGTCGGAAGTCCAGTAGACGAGTGGCTGGTGTTGATAAAACATGCTCCCAGTGGAATTTTACAGTTTGGGGATGTTAGATTCTTTGTTTTGAGTGGGGCAAAAAACACAGCCAGTGCACTTTTGCTGTCCAAAGCAAGAAGAATATGTGTATAGATTTGTTTATGAATTTCAATCCGAACAGTTGCAAAAACATAAGGATAATATTAAATCTGCAAATCAGTAACACCAAAACAATCCTAAAATGTATATTACTATATTTTAGACATATTATGTATTGTTGTTATCCCTGGATATGACTCCTATCCGTCAACAGTTTACAGTCATAGCTTTGTGGGCTTTCACTGAAGTAGTCTCACTTTAAAACCTGCTCTGAAATGTAGCTCACAGTTCATTAGGATGCACTGTGGGTTTTCATCATTGATTTCTTGTTTTCACTGTTGGTAGCATCAAGTGGCCATTCAGTTAAAATATTGCTTTTGCCATCATCGATCTGGTCTGTATATACAGAAACGCTGCGTATAACTGAAGGTGGGGAAGAACCTGTGTTGGTATAGAGTAGTGTACACATACAATACAGATAATCATAAACCAGTTTCTGACTATTTAGAGTTTATTGAATATTTATTGTTTGTTAATCATTATTCTGTGAAAAACCAGCTCGGTAATTTAACGCTCACACTAGATTTTTGGAGTGTGTTAATTATGTTTTTGCAAATGTAACCTTAACCCTTACAACATCCTAACCCAGGATGAGGGCCCGTGCTTTAGAACTACATTCTAAACAAATGTTCAAAAGTAAAGATTTAAAGTGGACCTATCATGCTATATTTGAATAATATAGTGTAGGACCATATCTATATAAGGCATATTTATACTTTTTTTTTTTCAAAATACCAAACAGATCATGCATTTTAGCCATGCCTCATTTTGCTCAATTTTACATTTTTTAGCTCTGTTTTTGCAAGGGCAGATTCTGTGAGAACAGCACCATCTACTGGCCTGGCATATGTACTACAGCGTATCCAGCGCTTTCGAACGGCAATGGCCGTGGCTGTCTCCTCCTGATTGGTGGAGTTGGCCCAATAGCCGTAGCGCCACTGTCCTGACGTCAGGACAGTGTTCAAATCTGGATCAGTTTTTATCAGATCCGTTGCAGCCCCTTTTTTAGAGATTTGGGTATGGAGGAAAATAGAGAGGGTTGTGTTTTCTGACACTTGGTGAGTTCCCTGGAACACCGGGGACACATATTCATGTATAAAAGACGTACAAAAGTGCATTTTGCATGATAGGTCCCCTTTAACTTTGCATTTGTCTTTTGACTGTCTCAAAGATCCAGTTATTCTTTGAAAAACTCCATCTTACATACACAAAGACACAATTAGAAATGGTGCAGATAATAGCTTCACAATTTAAAATGATTTATATTTATATTCTCTACAATGTATTTGTCTCCTATAGGTGCTGATCCGTATCATTGACACCAACAACCACCGACCACAGTTCTCTGAGAAGGTGTATGAGGTGAATGTCCCTGAAGACAAACCAGCCGGGACTGAGGTCCTGCAGGTCAGCGCTGTGGACAGAGACGAGAAGAACAAGCTAACCTTCACACTCCTCAGCAGCACCGACCCCTTCAGCCTGAGGAAGTTCCGACTAGACCCAGGAACGGGCACCCTCTTCACTACTGAGGAGCTGGATCATGAGACAATGCATCGTCACATTCTCACCGTCATGGTATGAGCCTCTGACAAGTTATAAATATCTTGTTAAATTATTAATTATTTTGCTACTTATGGTTTAATGGAGTTGTTTGAATTGTTTGCTTTGTTGAAAAAGAAACATCCATGAAATCTAGATAAGCTTGTTTATTTTTATGCTTATTTAAAAAATATGAATGTTTTGCTCTTTTATTATTGTGCTTTTGAAGAATCCCTCGAGGGCTCTAGCATCCTTTTCCATCAGTTTTTTTTCTTTCTTTTCTTCCTCCCTCATCCTAATGTTCTGTATATCCCTTTCTAAATGTCTTGTATTTAGGTTCGAGACCAGGACATCCCAGTAAAGAGGAACCTTGTGCGTGTTATTGTCAATGTGGATGACACCAATGACAATGCACCCTGGTTTATAGGCACACCTTACACTGGCCGTGTGTTTGAATCTGCAGCCGTAGGTTCGGCTGTGCTCCAGGTCACGGCTCTTGACAAAGACAAGGGCTATAACGCAGAGATTATCTACAGCATTGAATCAGGTGAATACACACAAAGTTGCTCTGCCACTTGGTTAAGCCACAATTTCCCTTGTGTTTTTCTTCTCATAGCAGAAAGCTTTCATTGTAAATGAATGCAAATGAAATCAGCTCATCAAAAATGTATGAGTCATCTTGAGTCCTGCTGCCCACTGGATCTTGATCATGAATGGAATACTTTACAAAGAGTAGGAGAATATTGAAGCCTTTGTCAGGACGATCTCCAAATACGTTGGAGATTGGTAGATCCCCCCCCCCCCCTCTGAATTTCCCACGATGGTGTTCTCCTACAATACACTGTTGTATGAGAACAAGAAACATGTGGGAAATAGCTTTTTATATGAATACATACACAAATTTGACATAGCTTAGATGACTTCATGTAATATAATTGTAGCTTGCTTTGTTTTGAGTTAAACTGACAGCTTAGGATGATTGGCTTGGAAAGGACGTTAGCCTTTCTGACACTTCAGATACTTATCAACGTAATGTTTTTGATACAACACAAATCATTTACCATATATGTGTTGCATTAAATGCCAGGCCCAAAAAAAAATGACTTCAAGTGCAGCATCATCTTATATATTCTCTTTCTTACAGGAAATGTTGCAAACTCATTTGCCATCGACCCTGTTCTTGGGACAATCAAGGTGTCCAAAGAGCTTGATCGCAACAGCAATAACCAGTTTGAACTCACCGTTAAGGCATCTGATAATGGAAACCTTTCACTGTCAACCACCACCACTGTTAACATTGCAGTAACAGTTTCTGATAATGCAGCCCCAAGATTCACCGAAAAAGAGTTCTCTGCAGAAGTTAGTGAATCAGTCAATCCAGGAAGTTTTGTGAGCTTGGTAACAGCCGACAGCCAGTCCTCTGTTTTCTATCAACTAAAAGGTGGCAACATCAACAACGCATTTGATATAAACCCTAACTCAGGAGTGATTGTGACCCAGAAAGCTTTAGATTATGAGACCACTTCCCAATACAAGCTCATCATACAGGGTACCAACATGGCAGGACTTTCCAGCAACGCAACTCTTCTGATTCACCTCAAGGATGAAAATGACAATGCTCCAATCTTTGTCCAGAAGGAATTCAAAGGATTAATTAGCGAGTCTGCCCCCATCAACAGTGTTGTCCTGACCCATGAAAACACGCCTTTTGTGATTAGGGCTTCTGATGCTGATTGCGACCGGAATGCCATGCTCATCTACCAAATTGTCGAACCTTTCGCACACAACTATTTTGCCATTGACTCAAGCACCGGAGCTGTCCGAATCACAACACCTTTGGATTATGAACAGAGGAGTGTCTTCCAGTTCACAGTCCAGGTCCATGATCTAGGAATGCCACGCCTGTTTGCAGAGACAGCAGCCAACGTAACCATTGAAGTAATTGACATAAATGACTGTCCACCAGTTTTCAGCCAAGAACTGTACGAGACAACTGTCAAAGTGCCAACCTACAAAGGGGTGGAAGTCATTAAAGTCAACGCCACAGACTCAGACTCTAAACTTATTTTCTCCATCTCAGAGGGAAATATTGGTGATAAATTTAAGATAGATCCAATCACAGGCATCATTTCTATTCAGAATGTGACACAACTCAGGAGCAGATATGAATTAAAAGTTAGGGTTTCCGATGGTAGGTTTGCTGCTGTGGCTACAGTTAAGATAAATGTGAAGGAAAACAAGGAGAGTAAACTGAAGTTCACAAGGGAGTCCTTCAAAGCCTACATCCAAGAAAACTCTTCTCAGAAGAAAACACTAGCAGCCATCGCTGTTGTTGGGAACCAGTTGAACGAGCCCTTGTTTTACAAGATTTTGAACCCTGACAGCAGATTTGAAATCAGCCGCACATCTGGGGTACTCTCAACCACTGGGATTCCATTTGATCGCGAGGCACAGGACACATTTGAAATAGTTGTTGAGGTCACCAAAGAGGACACATCTGAAGATGGGGCTCACGTTCTAGTAACTGTGACAGTGGAAGATGTAAATGACAACAAACCTATGTTTGTGAACCGACCCTATCACGCCCTGGTCCAGATGGACGCAGAGGAAGGCCAGGTCATCCGACAAGTCACAGCAGTAGACAAAGACATGGGCCCGAATGCAGTTATCCATTATTACCTGAAGGAACACCAAGAGCACTTTCAAATTACCCCATCTGGGGAAATCTCCCTCAAAAAGAAATTTGAGAAGGATTTGCTCGACACAGACTTTGTCGTTGTTGTTATGGCAAAGGATAATGGAGAGGTACCACTCTCAACAGAAGTAGAAGTGCCTATAACAGTGGTGAACAAAGCAATGCCTGTGTTTGAGAAGCCTTTTTACAGCATTGAAATACCTGAAAACATTCAATTACACACACCTGTGCTTCACGTACAGGCCAATGATTCTGAAGGCCCTCGTATTGTGTACACCATTTCTGAAGGGGATCCTTTCAAACAGTTCTCCATTGATTTCAACACAGGTGTAATTCATGTGATTCAGCCACTGGACTTTGAAACACATCCCGCCTATAAGTTAAATGTTCGTGCTACAGATTCTCTGACTGGAGCGCACTCTGAAGTGTTTGTTGATATCATACTGGAAGATGTAAATGACAACGCCCCTGTGTTCCTGTTGAAGTCTTACTATGCCAATATTTCAGAGGCCTCTGTCATTGGAACATCTATATTGCAAGTTGATGCCAAAGATTATGATACTGGAAGTAACCAAGAAGTATTCTTTCAACTAGTTGAAGAAAAGAGGAGGACTTCAGATGACTTCATCATTGACCGTGACACAGGAATAATCTCCACAGCTCAAGTTCTCGATCATGAGGAGATCCAGCAGCACAAGTTGAGAGTCCGCGTTGTGGACGGCGGAGTTCCAGCCCTTTCTAGTGATGTTATTGTAACAATAGATGTTACTGACCTTAATGACAATGCTCCAATATTTACACAGCACACTTATAACACTTCTATAAGTGAATTGGCCCCACGTGGACATTTTATCACCCAAGTCCAGGCATCTGATGTTGATAGCTCCGACTTAGATAAGTTGGAGTTCTCCATATTATCCGGAAATGATGATCAGAACTTTTCCATCGACAAACACACCGGCGCCATTTTCATTTCCAACCACCGTAGGCCACATATGCAGCCTCTCTACAACCTCAATGTATCAGTATCAGACGGTGTATTCAGAAACTCAGCCCTGGTCTTAGTAACAGTTACTGGAGCCAACCTTCACAACCCCACTTTCTCTCAGCTGGACTATTTGGTAGAGCTTGTTGAAAACTCACCTATTGGTACCTTGGTAGCAGAAGCAAAGGCAACAGATGACGACGAAGGCATATATGGGCGAATAACATACCAGATTGTCAATGACTTTGCAAAAGACAAGTTCTCTATCAATGAAAACGGAGAGATTTTCACTCTTGAGAGCCTTGATCGTGAGAATACCGTCGAAAAGGTCATTCCTATTTCTCTCACAGCTAAGGATGGGGGTGGGAAAGTGGGCTTTTCTGTAGTCAATGTCATTCTCACAGATGTCAATGACAATGCCCCACAATTCAGGGCAGCTGACTACAAAGCCACTATTGCATCAGATGCCCCAAGGGGAACTTCTGTGGTTAAAATTGCTGCTTCAGACATGGATGAGGGAAGCAATGCTGACGTTGAGTATTCAATTGAAGCAGATGTTGAAAGCGTTGAGGAGAACTTTGAAATCCACCCAACTTCTGGAGTCATCATAACCAAAGAGAGTCTCATTGGACTTGAAAATGAGCTCTATGCATTCTTTGTGAGGGCAAAGGACACTGGAAATCCATCCAAAGAATCTGTTGTGCAGGTTTACATCAGGATTGTAGCACCAGAGACACAAATTCCTAAATTTTCGGAAGCACAATACCGATACACAATTGCCGAAGACCTTCCCATCGGTACAGAGATCGATGTTATTCAGGCAGAAAGTAAGCAACCAGTCATTTACAGCCTTGTGAAGGGTAACACTCCCGAGAGCAATGAAGATGAGGTATTTGTTGTAGACAGAGACAGTGGGGCTTTGAAGCTTCAGAAAAGCCTAGACCATGAGACCACCAAATGGTACCAACTCACTTTGCTTTCCCAAACCCATCACGAGAACTATGAGATTGTGTCGTCTGTAAATGTTAACATCCAGGTGAAAGACCTTAATGACAACACACCTGTCTTTGAGGCATATCCTTACGAGGCTGTCATTGTGGAAAACCTTCCAAGTGGAGCTCAAGTGATCCAACTCAAAGCCACTGACCAAGACTCTGGAACCAACGGCCATGTTGTCTACAGCCTGGACTCAAAGCAGAACTCGCAGGAGATCTCCGAGCTGTTTGCTGTAAATAGTGAAACTGGATGGGTAACCACCTTAAAAGAGCTAGACCGTGAAAAGATGAACAAATACATAATTGCCGTCCTAGCTACAGACCAAGGCGACAAAGTCCAACACTTTAATGGCACCAAAGTGGAGGTTACAGTCGCTGATGTGAACGACAACCCACCACGCTTCACGGCAGAGATCTACAAAGGAACAGTCAGTGAAGATGACCCTCCTCCCAGTGGAGTGATCGCCATCCTCAGCACCACAGACGATGATTCTGAGGACATCAATAAACACGTCAACTACTTCATTACAGGTGAGAGATTATTAGGTTGTGCTTTTTTGTAAGCCCAGAGTTTACTCCCTACTCCTTTGTGTAACAGTTTTCATTAACAGAGCTAAGGGTGGATTATCCATTTATGCCTCTTAATATGATGATAATATCTCATCTTTGAAACATTACACCGTACTATTATCTGTTAGGAGTCCGATTAATCGTTTAATCTGCCGAAGCTCAAGGCAAATATTAAGGGTCATCATAATACAGAAATGTATAATTATCTAAATAATGCTTTGAAATCGAATGGGGAACAATTCTTCCTCGGGTGCTAATTAGCAAGTGTGAATAACTATGCCAAGTCTGGGTATATCAAGAGGAATCACAATGAGGCATTCGTTTGTGTACAGTTTTCTTTGTTTGCTTGTTTATAAAACAGATTTGATTTAGAAATAAGGATTTACTGTTTTAATGATATACTCCAAAGATGATTCCAGTAAAAATTGTGGAATGTAGTTTTAAATTCAGGACAGAGCCTTTTGTTAGTGTCTTTATAATGGCTCTGGCTGCTTTCCTGCCTCTGAGTTGTTGATGATTCTGAAGTGGTATATGTCTTTTTAACACCAAACAGGAGGGGACCCACTTGGCCAATTTGCTATCGAACACATTCAGAATGAATGGAAGGTCTCTGTCAGGAAGTCCTTGGACCGTGAAGAGAAGGACAATTATCTCCTCAACATTACTGCCAGTGATGGCATCTTTACCGCCAAAGCCGTTGTAGAGGTCAAGGTGCTGGATGCTAATGACAACAGTCCTGTTTGCGAAAAGGTAAATTACACAGTTTTCTGGACTGTTAAAATGCAGCATTTCTTTGCGTTTGATGTGCCCTTGTCTTCCTAGTTCTCACTTATATTTCTCTATCCATCCCTCAGTCACTATACAGTGAGAGTGTCAGAGAGGACTCCCCTGCTGGCAGGCTCATCTTGCAGGTCTCTGCTACAGATGCTGACATCCGCTCAAACGCCCAAATCTCCTATGATCTGCAAGGAGTTGGATCTGAATTGTTTAACATTGATTCTGATACAGGTGTGTATATGTGTGCTTACAAGAATAGATGCAAATGATTATATTTATGAATAAGAGTATTGATTTAGTGATGTTTTTAGATCACTTTTAAATAGTATTCTTTCTAGGATTACCACTTTCATCCTTTTTCTCTGAAGCCTTTTTTGTCCACAATCATTGAGTTAGAAGGCTTTCCAGCTGTGTTGCAGGTTGTTTTTGAAATATTAGGATGCAATATGTGAGGCACTCTTGTTAAAGTCTCTCATTAAAACACTCATGGCCCTCTGCTTCAAGCCACAAAATCAAAAAGGCAGCTCTGCGCAACAGCAGTCTCATATTCTACAGTCTTAAGATTTGAGAATTGCGATCCCTCTGAAAAAAGTTTGTGTATCTAGTGAATCATTATTAGCTATAGTGGAGGCAAGTGTGTTTTCTTTGTGCCCAGTTGTTTTACTTATTTATTTTTGAATCAGCCAGGAACATTTCCTTGCAAGGTAGCTGAAAGACCCTTAGTGGCACTAGAATACAAAATTGTGCACTTAAATTGAATTTATGACTGCTATACTTCTTGCCTGCAAATCAATTCTTCTGGGAGACCCGCTAAATCAGAGATTCCATCTGGCACCTCGGGAGAAAGAAATAAAAACATTGCCAGTTAATCACCACCAACCTGTTTTTAAAAGAAATGCCAAGTTAAAAGCATGGGAGTACAAAACAAACTAAGCCACATTTAAACAGCTATACAACACATCTGCTGCTGCGTAGAATCCTTAAGTAACGGCACAATTCAGCCTCGATATGTTAAGAGACTGACACCAAGGCAACAATACCATCCAGCTGTCTTTTGGCAACGCTCAAAATTTAGTTTCTAGCAGCAGTGCTACTTTTATGGAGCGAGGATGTTTTTTTTCTTCTTCAGTTCTTACAAGTAGGATTATTGCAGATGAGAACCGCCAAGAGGCTCGGGAGTTTTCCAAAGAGGTGTTGGCTGCTTCGCCTCCCAGGATACTTCCAAGCTGCTCTTAGCTGCCAACTCTGATGGTTTCCTCCATCCCCCCCACTCTCTCTGCCATTTTCTCGGGCTTCAATTACTTATTTATTCCCCTCTTCTCTCTTTTCAAAGCCATCAGTTGTTTGGATGTGTTTTGCTTGGTTAGTAGACAGCATACAAGGGGGCCATTGTGCTTTAAGAGTATACATGGTTTTGTCTTCTTACACATAAACTCAGTTTCATCTTCATTGTCTTCATCTTATGACTGTTTGTAACATGAAAGGATGTTTCATTATTCTTTAAATGGAAAATGAGATCTCCCCAAAGAGTGTATGTCTTCATGTTTGTGTATTTTGCTCAAAATTGTTCTGTCTCACCTTCAGGGGAGCTGAAGACGTTACAGCCCCTGGATCGAGAGGAGCAGGTCGAGCACAGGTTCAGAGTGCGGGCGGTGGACGGAGGAGGGCGGTACTGTGAGGCTGACATCCACATCACTGTGGACGATGTTAACGACAACACGCCTCAGTTCTCATCTGAAACCTACACCATCACAGTCTTCGAGAACACAGAGACGGGCACATTCGTGGCAAAACTGCTGGCAAACGATATCGATACTGGTGAGTTTATTTGCTTGCACAGTGTAAACATGACTTTGTACTTGAGAAACTATCAGTCCATTACCACAAAAAAAATGAAATCTACACCAAGGCATGGGAATACATTTCCTACCAACGTTAGCTAAGAACAACCCCCCCATTTTCTGTTGATCCACCTCCCAAACTCTCTTTTTTTTACACAGCTTTATGCAGCTTACAATGATAACAGGCAGATATAACACTAACATTTCTTTTGTAATTTTCCAATAATTGGTCCGAAAATATGTATGTATGTATCGACTACCCCCTCAAGTCTTTAAATGCTGAGTATCACTAACTGTCGTCCTGTATACGTAACTTCAACATGTAAAACAATCCAAATTGGACAGGCTTACTGTGCTTACTTACAGGGAGGTCCATGACTGGACAACATTTCATATTAAAGCTATGTTTTAGATACAGTTTTGTGAGCTGTTGCTTGTCACAAATACCTTAACGTTGAAATTGCAAAATGCACACAAAGACATTACTCAGGCAAAAAAAAAAGGGTTCAACAATTTACACTTATAAAAGTTTCCTGTATCATAGTATGAATTTGCCTCTCGGCTAAATGCTGACTCACAATAGACTGGTTATTATCTTTCCTTTATACAACTGCATTACACTAAATGGCAAGAGGGAGGGATAACAAATGTGGAATTTCATGAATGATCAACCCCCCAAATTAAAAGCTCCATTACACTCTAATGAAATTCCTCTTTCTTCAAGCTGATTTCTCAAAAGGGCTGATGCAATTTTCCATTTGCATGGTGCGAAGCCACAGAGTCACATATATTTGTCTCCGGCGTCTTTACCTTTCAGAAAGCATTGCCAACCGCTGAGCAGCTCACATGTGGGTAAGACTGGGAAGTTTAACATGCAGTCAAACAGTAATTTAAACTCCTGGAGACTTTAACAGGAAACCATTGGACCTGTCTTTCTAGATTAAACCTTTAGTTTAGCAGGAACCACTCTAACCTGTACACTGCCAGAGAATCAACGCCCTCTTTTTCCTAACCTGAGTGAACTGACAGCTCGAGATGATAGAATTGGGTCTGCTTGGAGAGAAACTTTAAATGGTGAATGGAGAGTGCCGGGATTAAGAAATGTTCTCCCCCGAGGCTTTGTTGGCATGGAATTTTCTTCAAATGTTCAAATATCTAGGATAAGGGTACTTGAAGGAGGCTCTGAGAAAATAAGGTGCTTCCTGCCTAGCCAGGGACAATAATTATTTAGAGTTGCACTGAGTGTAGCAGAGGGAGTTTGAGAAGTTTTATCTCACATGTGGGTATCGCACACATCAGAGTTCTTTTTATTTGTCTTTCTAGTATTTATTTAGCACAACTGGTGAGTCCCAAGCATTCAAGAAGAATTAGACATTGTAGCTTTGACCCAGTTCAGTCAGGCTTCAGTCGACTCTCAGCAGTGAACATCAACATATGAAGCCTAATGTAACCCTCCTACAAAGAGAACATATTTGCTTTAATTTCCATCAATATTTGACTCTGGTATCTATGCAAGGACTCATTCTTGGCACTGGCTGCTGTGTGCTGCTGTCTCAATAATCCACCTGCCTATTTGGCTGGAATATGTTTGTTATTTACCCACATTACTGCAGTAAGGAGTTGTGTCAGTGTAGAGCTAGCATGTTTGCTTTTAGCTATATAACCAAGGCATTGTCTTTAAAATAGAGCTGCAACTGAGAACCATTTAGCCCATAACAGTTTTCTCTTTAAACTTTTAGAACGCCCATGAAAAGTGTATCCCTGTTTTATTCACCACTTATCTCAAACTCAAAGATATTAAGTTTACTATCATGTATGACAAAGAAGGTGCTGATTCATTATCCATCCATCCACTCAGCATCCCAACTCTACTTTCATATTAAACATTCCAGTCTTGAGATTATAGTGAGCATATTAGGGGACATAGCCGATTGAAATTCAGCACAATTACTTAACCACCATTAAGTAGTTGTCCCAAGGGTGATCAGACCAGATAAAAGTGATGGGAAACCATATAAGCAGGGCTCTTGTGGTAGTCTCCAGCACGATAATGAGATCCACGGAGGACAGGGGCACTTACCTGATAAATGGGAATATAATAGCGTATTCCAAATGGGGGCCACCTGCAGAAAGGCATTATGATTATTATTGTGATCCGTCTCTGTCTTGTTGCTCGGAGCGTCTTGCTAGTGGGAGGACATGAGTTATGAGGATGGCATGGATTAGACGTTTACAGCTCCTGTTTATCAGAGGCTTCGTGAAAGATGGATGTGTCGGAATGAGAATGAAGGGAGACGGTTTTAATCATTCAAGAATCAATACATCAATATAAGAATCAATATGCTTGTTACGCCCTGTACTTAAGGGAGTATTTCTGTTGATGTGGCTATTCATCTTTTTCGGTGAAGATAACATTTTACTCAGCAGTATAATCGCTGAGATGAGGGAACAGGGACAGGGAGGATTGTCCAAAAAAAAAAAAAAAACCTTAATTCTCCTTTTTCTATTCCATCTCAGATCTTAACAGCGACATCCTCTACTCATTGGTCGATTCCGCTGAAGGGTTCTTCTCAATTGACGAGCACACCGGTGTTATGAGCCTGGAGCGCCCCCTGGACCGAGAGGTGCAGTCCACATACGAGCTGAAGGCCCGGGCCAGTGACCAGGGCTCCCCACGTCTGTCCTCTCTGTGCCACGTGCTGATCTCCGTCCTGGACATCAACGACAATCCGCCAGTCTTTGAGCACCGTGAATACATGGCTACCCTGTCTGAGGACGTGACGGTGGGCACACAGGTGCTCAGAGTGCAGGCAGCGAGCCGGGACACGGATGCTAACGGAGAGATCTCTTACGGCATCATCAGCGGAAACGAGCACGGCATGTTCAGCGTTGACCCTCGCACCGGTATGTGGTAGCAGGAAACAGATGGCTTTTCTTTTCCATAATCTCTTAGCTCAGCTTTTACTGTGCTCTCCGGGTGTGGCCCTATACTGATATTGATGATAACTGTTTTAATGAGAGATTAAATATTGATATCATGGAAATCATAGACAATTATTAATATCGGGTAAATAATCCATGGCCTCTTGAATCATTTCTGTCCTTCAGTTCTTGCTTTTTGTCGTCCCTTATAATGCCATTATATACAGTTTTGTTTATGGACTCTCTTTCTTGCATTTTGAGTGTAATTCTCTCAAAAAAGAGACAGAACACACAATTAAATTAATTTAAATAAGGATTGACCTAATAGCATTACTATAATTATTCTTTTTTAATTCTAATTTTCTAAAGATTCAATACCATGAATTATTTTGGCCGTGATAATCATGCCGTGGAAATCTGATATCTAACTATGCTCTTAGCTCTCTGCCTATCGGGTGTGTAAAAAAGAAGTAGTATTAACTCCAATCCAATTATATGTAATATTCAATTCTAAAAAAATAAACAAAGGATTCTTTCTAGCTTCAAGCAGTAATGCAGTAAGAGCAGCTGAGCAATGCTTGACTTTTGAATTTCAAATGAAAGCCACTTACTAAAATACAAAGAAGCTCATTGTTTGTCGTCAAATTGATTTCCTTTTTTGATTTCACAGATGTTTTATTTATTTAAGTTGTGGTATTGAAGTTTGAATTCTTGTGACAGGACATCCTCTCTGACTTTCCGCCGTCTCTTTGTCCTCAGGTGACGTCTTTGTGATCGAGCCGCTGGACTACGAGGTCTCCCATGAATACTACATCACCGTAGAGGCGACAGATGGTGGCTCGCCGCCGCTCAGCGACATGGCCACTGTGAACATCAACCTGACCGATGTCAACGACAACACACCCGTGTTCAGCCAGGAGATCTACACCGCCGTCGTCAGTGAGGACGCCGAGCTGGGGAAGACTGTGATGGCGGTGAGAATAAATCCCATCCTTAGGGACATGTTTAAATACAATAGTTGGTTGTTGTGGAGCAGCATCCCATAATTACTATAACGCTGCATGCAGGGCGAAAGACATTTTTCATCACTGTCTCTTTTAATTTTCCTCCAGCTAGTTGTGTCAGTTTGTTCATTTACTCGCTCACAGCCTTCCTCCTCTCTGCCCATTACTCACTGCTTACACTATCACACATCTGCACCTGTGGCAAATCACCATCTGGTGGCACAGCTAAATTAGTAACATTGCTCTTCAAGCTCACTGCGCCCCTGTTCTCGTGCATTATCTGACACACATGCTCAAACTGTTTAATTGAAAGGCATTTGACTCATTAAGCCTCCGTCCTAGATAAGGCATTGTCTTCACCTTTTGCATGTTCAATTTTCTCTCCGTCTATTTCTGTCTAACCCCGCAGCACACCACTCCTCCTCCCTTAATAAAAGACCCCTGCTTATGGCCATTTGTCTGTGTGCCTAATGTACCTGAATATAAATGATAAATCTGAAAATTAGATTTTAATACGTGCTATTGTCTCATACTTGTAAATCTTCCCTGTCTGCTGATTTCCCCGGGGATCCCTTTCAATATGTGACGCTTGGTGGGTTTTAAGACTGTGTGTGAGTAACTGTGTTTGTTCTGGAGGAGGATGCACAGGAGAAAGGAAAGGTTGTTAACATCTGTATGATGTTGTGATAGCCGGGCCGCAACTAATTAATATTAATCTTCTCGTCATAATTTATTCAGCTGATTATATTTTTCAATAAACAGATTATTTGTTTTGTAAATAACTATGAAAAGTGCAGATTCACAGAGCCCAATGTGCTGTCAGATAAATTGAGTAATTGAAGAAACTGGGACAGGAAATTTTTTTGGCATTTAGCTTAAAAAATTACTCAAATTATTGATTTGATTAATTTCTGTTGATCCACTCGTGCAGTGAAATAGTGCTTTAAAAGTAAGATTTTGAAATTCAAATGTATTTCTGTAAAATGATACAAGTAAACAACCTATTAGAAACTATGTGGGTGGGTTTTTTATAAATACACCCACAGTCATCAGATTTTCTGTCAAATGTTGTTAAATCCTGATTGGTTCGTGGAATTAAATATAGGATCATGGTTTTTCACAGATGATTCCCACCCACTTAAGACTAATAAAGACCACTGACACAATGACAAGTGTACCCTCCCACCAATCAACCAGATGTCTTCTTAATCTGGAAGATAATTGTGTGTCCATGCAAGAACAATCGATGATAGTATGAAGCTGGTTGAGACATGTTAACCTAACATTCACACGTTGAATTGTCACGTTAATCCATTTTCCAGAATCAGTGATTGATTGTTGTTTTGATTGATTTAAAGGTGATGGCAGAAGATGTCGACGGACCTTCTTTCAATCACGTGCGCTACTTCATCGTGGACGGTAACCAAGGCAGCCCCTTCACCATCGATCCGGTCAGAGGAGAGCTTAAAGTCGCTCGCCAGCTGGACAGAGAGCGAGTAAGAGAAACCACAGATACAATGCTGAGTGTTCACATAGTTTAATCCACTGTGGGGCTAATTGCACTCTATGCAGAATCCAATCAAAGTCATGTCAGGCCTAATAGGGAAGCTTGTTTACTGATCTCCGCTGCATTATTGCTTACAAAAGCAGCCTTGCCTATGTATGGTAATTATTCTCCATGTGTTTCTCAGACCTCAGGGTTCACTCTGATGGTGGTTGCCTCAGACAACGGGGCCAACCCTCTCTCCAGCAGCGCCATGATCAACATCGACATCTCAGACGTCAACGACAACCCACCGCTGTTCTCCCAGGGCAACTACAGCCTCATCATCCAGGTGAGAGGGGGGGGGAAAGGTCAGTGAAGATGGCTGATTAAAGGTGTAGTGGATGAGAAAGAAGTAGATGGAAAGGAAGTAAGAGAGGAGAAGGAGGAGGAGCAGGGGGGGGGGATTGCAGTGGACACAGAGAAATGGATTAACAGGGAGGAATAATGGGAGACTGTGCGACTTGAATGTCAAGAAGCAAGTCGGATGTTGGAGCAAGAACAGAGGTAGGGGGGAGAGGAGGGAGGAGGGAATCAAAAGACAGAGGATGCATCTTAAGTATGAGAATTTAGATACGGGAATAAATGGGGAAGGCTGTGAGGCAGGAGAGTTGAAGAGAGGAAAGATACTGAGCTATAGTCGGTTCACTGGAGAGAAGTGAAAGAGTGTTGAAATGAAAATAATTAAGCTAGATGCATTTGTAATACAGTTCAGGACAGAAATCATGATTCCAAAGATAGATGATTTATTTACAATTTTCCGTTCTGTTTAGAAAACTGAAAAAGCAATTTATTGTGCGGAGGCGTCGCATTTTTAGCTCGAGTACTTACTGATGAAACATTGTTTTGCCTAAAAAAAAAATCCTAACCGGCTTTATTTGACTTATTATGGATCCCCGATCAAAGTAAAGCACAAATGCACTCCTAAAAGCACAAATAAGCAACACAAAGCACACTGTTCACAACACCAGGAGCATTAGGAGTTGTTTGAGAATAACAATGAGTTTCAGGACTTGCATTACAAGGGACAGATCTGAAGACCAATCAGGGACACACAACACGAAAGAGGAAGCCTTCCTTTTCTGAAGATAACGTCGTCTGTTAACCTGCCCAAATCTTTGAAGCAATTATAATCGGTGTTTAGATATCGGCAGTGAATTAAATTATTCTGTGTGGTGGCGATCAGTCGTATTTAGTTGATTCAAATGAGAGAAGCTTACGTTTTCCCAATTTTTAGCTGTACAAATATTCAGTTATTTAATAGTCTCTGTAGGGCTGTGCAATTAATCGTATTTTAATCGCAATTACCATTTTGGCCTGCCACAATTACGAAAACAACATCATCGAAAAAAACGATTATTTTGCTTTGCTAGGTTGTGACATATTGATCTAATTTATTTTAGTCTAATTTATTTTTATTTATCATATTTATATATGTTTAGTAGCTTGTTGAAGTGCGCTCCAAAATATTTGTTGATCTTGATACTTATTGGTATTTATTATTTTGATATCATTTATTTTTGTATTGGTTTTTCAGTTGAATTATACGTTCAGGGTAATCAACAGTTAAAAAGACACTGTTCAAATTATTATTTGTATTTGTTTTAAAGTTCAATAAATGGATGTTTTCAAAGTCAATGAATAATCGTATTTAATAATCGTGATATCAATTATTGACCAAAATAATCGTGATTATGATTTTTGCCATAATCGCACAGCCCTAAGTCTCTGTTACGTTTCCTCTCGCACCGGAAATGTTCTGTGGGTTTGCAAAACATTGTAGAGATGAAGAGCATCAGGTGAGCCACCTCCTCTCTCCACAAACATTACACATGCCTCTCTTGAATCCCACAGGAGAACCGACCAAAAGGCACAAGTGTCCTCCAGCTCACCGTAACCGATCGGGACGCTTCCCACAACGGCCCACCTTTCACCTTCGCCATCGTGGATGGGAATGAGGGCGATGCTTTCCACATCAATCAGCAGGGAGCTTTAGTGGCCGTGGGAGCGCTGAATAGGAAAAGTACAGAACACTACCTACTGCAAGCTCAGGTGAGTCACAGCGCAGAGGAGAAACCGCAGTTGAGAGGTTGTATTGATTTAACCGTCAAGGCATAGCAACCTGATCTATTTGTCTTTCTTCTGTTCCCTTTTCTCTGTCATGCTCATTGATATCTCCTTACATCCCAACACTAGTCAATGTTCGTCTCTCCATCTTTTAAACACGTTCTAAATAAAGCTTTTAACCTTGCAAACAACTGTCTGTAAGATGCTGAAGTGGAATAGGCATACATCAGAGCTGCTGCATGGGAGTGAATCTCAAAGGAGAATAACAAATCAAAGACATTTGCTTTGAGTTGGCACGATCGCATGTGTTGCTGGGTGTTGATGTGTCACTTTAGCAGAAAAAAAGAGAGTGGGCAGATGGGATATGAAATGTAAGTGTGATGTCTTGTTACACGAGATGCACACTCACGTTTGAGTCATAGTTGTTTTTTTGAACTGATGACCATCCGTGTGAGAGTGTGTTTGATGAAATGCATGAACTGTAGATGTTTTAAAATGCAGAGCACCGACAGTATCTAGATGTGGTTTAACTTATCGGTGGAAGAGCTTGATTGCCCTCTGCTGTTGGAAAAAGAAAGCTTTCAGACAAAAACTAACACTGAACATCATTTTCTTCTCTCCATATCCAGGTGTCAGACAGTGGCAAACCTCAGCTCGTTTCCACCGCCTTCATCAGTGTGCGAATAATCGAGGAGAGCGTCTACCCTCCTGCCATCCTTCCACTGGATATCTTTGTCACCTGCGCGGGCGATGAATACCCCGGAGGTGTCCTGGGCAAGATCCACGCCACCGACCAGGACATCTACGACACCCTCTCCTACAGCCTCTCCCCTTCCTCTTCCTCATCGGACGACAGCGGAGCCCTGTTTTCAGTGTCCGCCTCCGATGGTAAAGTCATCGCCCTGCGCCCCCTCGATGTGGGTCACTACCCTCTCAACGTGACGGTGACCGACGGGCGCTTCACCACGGCGGCTGACGTCACCGTGCACGTCAGACAGGCAACACGTCAGGCTCTGGACAACTCTATTGCCGTGCGCTTTGCTAATATCGCCCCCGAGGAATTCATCGGGGACTTCTGGCGTAACTTCCAGCGGGCACTGAGGAACATCGCAGGGGTCCGGAGGAGTGAGGTGCAGCTGGTGAGCCTGCAGCCTTCAGAGCACGGAGACCTGGACGTGCTGCTGGCTTTAGAGAGGTCCGGTACCCCCTACCAATCTCAGGAGGTGAGAACGGCTATGCTAACATTTGATGGTCATTTATAGTTAATGGTACAAAATATGCCCGGGAAATGTAGTGTACAATATCGTATCATGAGACAAGATATCATAGATTTTTGATATCGTAACATTTTAAGTATTTTCTATTTTAAAGGCCTGACATTTTCATTGCTAAAATATCTTTCAATATTGTTTCATAGTTATTTGGCTATACATACTGTGATATATGATTTTCTTTATACAACCCAACCCTAGTAAAGAATTGTTAAATTAATCAAATAATGATCTAGTCCAATAAGTTTCAAAGATGTCAGTTGAAACCAATATGATGTCTTTAAATTACAAAGATGTTCAGTTTTTAAAGACATAAAAAAGAGGAAAGCTGATTATTCATGTGTTTTCAGGTGGTCTTCCGTAAGCTGAACTCCTCTGCGGCTGTGATCGAGGAGATGACGGGCGTTCGGATCGTGCGGGTGGTGCAGAAGCTGTGCGCGGGGGTGGACTGCCCGTTAAGCTTCTGCGACGAGGTCATCTCCCTGGACAAGAGCACGATGTCCACATACAGCACGGCTCGTCTCAGCTTCGTCTCACCGAGACACCTGAGGACCGCCACCTGCCAGTGTGAAGGTAGGCTCATTAACCACACACAGATTCACACATTCACTGTCTGTCAGAAAACGCCTGATCTGACTGGAAGTGTGTCGTCGTTTAGGTGGCACATGTCCCGTGGTGAACAACCTGTGTGAGAACAGCCCCTGTCCTGAGGGAATGGAGTGTGTGGCAGATCCTAAAGAAGCCGTGTACAGCTGTGTGTGTCCAGAGGGCAAAAAGGGCAAATGCTCCGGTAAGACCACCCACCTATTAATCTCTGTTTCCAGATGTCGTTATCTCTTACCTATCTCAAGCCTTTTCACCCTGGAGTAATGAGGAAAATAATGTAAAAGCTGCATGCCTGTCCCACATCTTCTTGATTCATGTCTCTTACTTCCTGTCAGATGGCAACTCCCTAACGTTCAGCGGCAGCGGCTATGTGAAGTACCTTCTGATGGAGAATGAGAACAAGGAGCTGATGAAACTCTCCCTGAGGATCAGGACCTTCTCCACTCATGCTACTGTCATGTATGCGAAAGGAACAGACTACAGCATCCTCGAGGTGTGTGTGTGTGTGAATATATTTGCCTTGCCATATTGCTCAGACGTGCATTTATTCCTTCAGAGTCTTCAAAACTGATAACCTTCCTTATCATAATTAAGTCTAGACTGACTGTCCCTCCGTTTTACCGCGCAGCATTTCCATATCAGAAGGGCTTAATAAACACAAACTGACCCGCCCTCCCATGAGACCACCCAGGCATGTGTACCAATCAACTGTTCTGAAGGGTTCAAAAAGCCATTTTAAACCCCCGTTCACATGAGGGACGGTGGGAATGTGGTGGTGGGTTGAAAAAAGCTCCTCACACACAGGAGCTATTTTAGTTCTGGGAGGGAAACAGAAAGCTGTTTTCCACACATTCCTCCGAGTCTGTCTCTTATAGCAGTCTGCATGCCAGACTTTAGACTAAAAACCTGGCTGGCTATGAGACAGTTATTGTTTAGCCATGTGAGGCTTTAAATAACTTTTAACTCTTTTATTTAGAGACATAAGCTTACAGCGTTTTATAAAGATGCCTTCCTGCACAGCTTGTTGAAATTGGGTTGATCTAAATAAAGATTACATTTTAATGAATTATTGATGCACACTGTATTTTCTGAAAGGGAGTGATTTATGACAGTTTCACATATTGATTTATAACGGCGCCTTCATAATTTAATTACGATTTCTCCGCCAGATTCTAATCTTGTGTTGATCAAGATGAGAAACAGAGAACACAAATTATGAAACTAGAAGCTTTCATATGTCTAGCGTATGCTGAATGTTCATCATGTTCTTTGTATTTCTGACAGATTGTGAACGGCCGTCTGCAGTACAAGTTTGACTGCGGCAGTGGCCCCGGCCTGGTGTCTGTGCACAGCGCTCAGATTAACGACGGGGAGTGGCACACTCTCACACTGGAGGTGGATGGTAACTACGCCAAGCTGGTGCTGGACCGGGTGCACGCCGCCTCAGGCACAGCACCGGGCACCCTGCGGACCCTCAACCTCGACAACAGCATTTATTTCGGCGGGCATGTACGCCAGCTGGCCTCGGCTCGCCACGGTCGCAGCCTGCCCGTCACCAACGGGCTGCGCGGCTGCATGGAGGCCATCAGCCTGAACGGCCAGGAGCTGCCTCTGAACACCAAGGCTCAGCGGGCCCACGCCGTGCTGGAGGACCTCGTGGACGTGAGCCCAGGCTGTGCCCTCGCACCTGCCGAGAGCTGCTCCAGCAACCCCTGCAGCAACGGGGGGGTGTGCGCCTCGCTGCCTAACGGAGGTACATCCTGTCCTGCTCAGCTCATTGCAGTCACGTTCTCACCCGGGTGGCTTTAGTTAGTCAAGTCAAAGTCAACTTTACTGTCAATCTTGCAGTTTGTGTGTACAGACAGAGAGAGCGAAATACCGTTTCCCACAATCCTCAATACGAAAATACAAATATATATAAAAAATATATCCTACACAATCAACAGACACATTTATACCTATGCACACAAAACATTTATAAACTGTGTAAAGGGTTAATGAGATTATAAACTACAGTCATTTGTATCAGTCAGTTCTCACTTTTATTAACTTAGTCTATTATTATGTTTTGACTTAATGAGCTATTGCAAGTAAATCAAGTTTTGGTATTATTGGTTGGACGCAACAAGTCATCTCAAGATCTGGATTATTGTGTGAATATTCTTCTCTATTTTGACATTTTGTGAACTGAACTTTTCAAAAGATGGTCTACAAACAAAATGATAAAGAGACCAATGCAGCCATACTATCCCTTTGCCAACGTTTGTGATAAAGGTAGACTTAGAGTGGTTGTATTGGACTGCAATTAGTTCAATTAGTTTTATCTGAACATTATTACATTTCTCCGTGAGATTAAGGAGTTTTAATTAATCACTAAATTACTCATCTGATCATATAACAGAGCTTATTTTCTGCCGCCTGAGAACAGGTGTATCAGCTGGGAAGTTGAATCTGTTCGTATATTGAAGGCAGGCTATTAGAGAGGCATCTTCTATCATAGTTTTGTGCGACCTCTCCCTGTTATCTGATGCGTCTGCTTGCAGTGTTAATTTGCAGTAAGTGCCGTTTGCTGTTAATGCAAACTCAACAGTTCTGCATGACTTCGCATTAAAAACTTGCCAGTGGTTCAGGGGGCATAATCCCTCACTGTCCCTACGAGGCTTTTCTGCAAAATATGCAGCTCAGTTTGAAAAGAAAGAAAAAACTCTAAACAGTGTGGTGAGCACAACATTGTACTATTGGAATTAATGTAAATTATGCAAAGTAAACCATTACAATAAAAACAACAGTACAATTCAGTCCCCCCAGCAATTATTTCCTAACAGGCGTTGTTGTGATGAATTACAGGAGTTTAACAATGTCAATAAATTAATATGTCTTTTATTTGTATTCCACAGGCTACTTCTGTAAGTGTCCTGCCTCCTTCATGGGCACCCACTGTGAGATTGGCCTGAGCCCCTGTGCCTCCAACCCCTGCCTGTACGGGGGCACCTGTGTTCCTCGAGCAGGCGACTTCTTCTGCCAGTGCAGAGGACAGTACTCAGGACAAAGGTACAGCCATGCATGCTATGGCGCGAGATTGATGGATATCATTTTGCATGTATGCCTGGGTGATGATGATCATGTGATGAAGCTAATACTTTAAACACATCATGTAATTCTAATTGGATATTAATACTCACATTTCATTTTGAATCTTTGAGTAAGACCTGCATTTCAAGTTATAGACCGGTGATCAGCTATTACAAATGATGTCTGATCCATTATTTTACACCTTGTAAATCCTTCAGCAAGATAAAATGTAGGTTTTCAAAAAACACGTCTTCCTATATTTTGTAGGTTTCTTACGTAAGCTTGTTTTGTATTCAGGTGCCAGTTGGGGCCGTACTGCAGAGATAACCCCTGTAAAAACAGCGGGAAGTGCATCGACAGCCTGGACGGTCCAGTGTGTGAGTGTGAAGTCGGTTTCCAGGGAGAAAGGTACGTACATTTTGAATTCAAACCCATGAACTGATCTCACTAAATGATTTATATCTCCGGCTAGACAGGTCCGATCTCCTGTATCAGCAGTTTGTAACACACAGCACTGAACTCTGATGTGTTCTTCAGGTGCCTGAGCGACGTTGACGAGTGCATCAAGAACCCCTGCTCCAACGGAGGCCAGTGCCAGAACACATACGGCTCGTACAAATGCAACTGCTCGCTGGGATTCAACGGACAGATGTGCGAACTCCGCGCCGAGGTCCGCAATGACTTCGTCTCCACTTCCTGGAACATCGGTCTGGAGGAGGTGATCGGCATCGTGGTGTTTGTGTCCAGCATCTTCATCCTGGTCCTCCTCTTCATCATCATCCGCAAGAAGGCCTGTCGCAGAAGGTCCAAGCACAACGACGACAACAAACATCTGGCCAGTCCCAACACGCCTCACTCCTTTCTACAGAGGCCGTACTTTGACGTCAAACTCAACAAGAACATCTACTCCGACATCCCCCCCCAGGTCCCCGTGAGGCCCATCTCCTACACTCCCAGCATTCCAAGCGACTCGAGGAACAACCTGGACAGGAATTCATTCGAGGGCTCAGCCATCCCGGAGCACCCGGAGTTCAGCACCTTCAACCCGGACACTGTGCACGGGCACCGCAAGACCGTGGCCGTGTGCAGCGTCGCCCCCAACCTCCCCCCACCCCCTGGCTCCAACTCCATCTCAGACAGCGACTCCATCCAGAAGCCAAACTGGGACTATGACTATGATGGTAAGTTCTCAATGTTCCTAAAAGTACCCTGATGACCTTTTTGTACATATAAGAGGGAAAGTAGAAGCAATGCTACATTTGTACACCTCAGGTTAAATCATTTTCAGTTAGTTACTCGTTTTACGTTGTCTCCATTTTCTTTATACTTTGTACCAAACGATGATTAAACTTGCAAAACTTGATACAAAATTCAGTAAATACAAAATGTAATTGAAAGCAAATAGTGGTTTTACATATGATCATATATAATGCATTATAAATAACACTTCATAAAATATTTCCTTATACTTTTTATTATTTTGCCCATATTGAAATACAAATTGAGACCAGGAAAACTATACTTGAGACTAAAAAAACTATACTAAACTTTGAAAATTCCCATACAAATTGAAAAAAAGCAACATCCTACAAACGTATACTTCTGTCTATGTCTTTTTTTTTATTGTTGCCCATCTATAGACTATTTCAAACACATTGCTTTGCCCTACACAGGAAGTTTTCCTATCTCTTCCAAGTGCTTCCATACACTATATTCAGGCTGTGCTTTCTCTTCCAGCTAAAGTGGTGGACTTGGACCCGTGCCTGAGTAAGAAGCCTGCAGAGGACAGCGCCTGTCACCCCTACAACACCCGGGGCAGCATGTCTGAGGTCCAGTCCCTCAGCTCCTTCCAGTCAGAGTCCTGCGATGACAACGGTAAGCTGCCACTCAGCGCGTTAAATCTATCTCTCTTAGTCATCTAAGGAAAACTAACCACATAGCATAGTATAAAAACAGCATATTTTATAACATGTACATGTATGAGATGATATTTTGCATTTGTGATGAGTTTAACCTCTTATTGCCTTTGTTTGATCAGCCTGCAGGGTTCTGCAACGGTTACCTGTGTCTTTGTAGAGCCTTGATGATTGTCTTGCTAACTCTTGTTTCTTTGCATGCTCACAATGGATGGCCCAAATGGCTCTGGGGTCACATGTTGTTCTCTCTCTTTCCTTCTGCTGCGGGGCTTCAGCTCCCATATGGATCAAATCAGTCCACAGATCCAGAACAAGGTTTTAAATAGGGGGGTCCAGCCTGTAAGTCCTCAATCACTGCCGGTACAGACGGAAGCATTCACAAAAACATGTGCAGTGTAATTCTCCCGGGATTACATGTATACATACATACATACAAAAAAGACATTCTGACCCTTTTCTAATCCGCCCGCTCTCAGTTTACCTGTGTTCAAAAGGAGTTTGATGACTTAGAAACCGGTTTGAAAATCATTTATTTTGACATTTATCCGCATTTGATTTGTGTTCTTTTTTATTATTTACATGCATGCCTTTTTCTTTGTCTCTTCTTTTTTGTTTTCAACATGTAGCTACAAAGTGCTGTGTAACGCAAACATCCAGGAACATATCCCAAGGGTATACACGCATATGTTATGTTCTCCTGTTCTTTTCTCATCACATCTACCTTATTACCCTGTCATTACCGGGATATCACGGAGGGGATTGTGCTGCCCATAAGTCATCAAAACCTTCCAAAAATACGAATGAATCCTAAATTGATTTGGAAATTGAATATTTCCTAAACAAGCCATTTCTGTTTCCTTCATTTCCCTCAGTTTGTTTTCTAAACACACACTGGCTCTTCTCTGTGTTAGGGTTGGAAATGTGCTCATGTCTCCGGGGAATTTCACTGATTCTTCCATCTGTACTGTGAATGGCACCCCGTAGCATCTCAGTATGTTGTTGTTGTGTTAGCTTGCACAAACAAAACCAGACCCTCGCCCATACTGTGCTGCCTTCCACCATTGTCTTGTGCCTAGCCAACCCCCCCCCCCCCTCACCACGGATAAGTACAAATAAGTGTGTTCAGCAGGGACAGCAACGTTTGTGGGAAGTGTTGATCGTGTTGGCATCAATTCCACCATGCACTTCATTTGTATGTGTTTGTTTTTAAATGATGAAACCATTTGTACTTATGCTTGATCTCTCCCATCCACTCCCCTTTCTCCTGCCTCTCACAAGCCTCCCTAGTGACGGTAATCCACCGTGTCAACTGTGCTGTTGACACGGTGGAAGGAGAAGGTACTCTTTTATTGCTTCCACCTCCCTTCAGTTTATTCTTGGTGTTGGGATGTGAAGTGCAGGTGAAAGAGCTGCCATTATCTTACACTGACAAACCAAATCCAACCCGTTCTGTTTTTAGATCCAGCTGCTAATTAAACAGGCACAGAAGTGTTGCCTTCAAGTCTCAGTAAATAACTTTGCCAACCTTTGATTGCACACCTCAAGAAGTCGGTTTGAGAAAATGGCAAACCTGTTGTCCATGAATTACCCGTCACTCTCTTTATCATTGTCATGTCTCTCATTTCATTCGTGTTCTTAGCCCATTGTTCTTTCTTCTCAGGTTTTAATGTTCTTTTTTCTCTTTCTCCTCCTCCTTGCCTCATATAAAGAGTCTTTTTTGGCTCATGATCTCAAGAACCCAAGAGGTGACTTTTTACATCTTTGTTTGCCTGATGTTCACTGGTGTTGCCCCAATCCCCTCGTCTAACTCTTAACCACTACCCCCAAAGCTTAGTGAGGAAAGGGTTAACCGCTCTGTGCGACACTCAGTGCTTTCTGCTTCGGTCCTCTTAAGGTGTTACTGTCTGCCGCTGTAAGAGTATTAAAATCATTCCCATGCATGGCTTTGATGCCGGGACAACGTTAGAGAAAATGTTAATCCGAGCATTATATGATTTAACATTTTGCTCAGTAACTAACTGGAAATGTAACCGACTGGATAGGAGTCGCTTGTGTCTGCTTGTCTTTGTAAGTTATTTTAATGGTTTGACACAGCATTTACAGTAACTATTTTTTAACACTTCTTATACATTTGTTGTATGTGAAAGTGGTTTAGTTATAATCAGTCCCAGTAAATATTATCTTTCTGGTGAAGGGAAGACAAATGTTTCGTCTTCATCTTCAATAATTTGACGTATTTAATACAACCAGTTGAATCTAAATCCAATGATAGAAAGATCCAAAAATATGATTGGATAGTTCGGAAGTGGGCGTGGCTTAGCTCATATTGTGTTGCCATATGGAACTGTAGATAGAAAGTTAGGACTATTGGACACAATGTTAATATATATTTAAGGTGTACTCCAATGAGATGTTATTTATCAAACACATTTTATTTGTTTATTTTAGGGATAGGAGAAGGAGATTTTGTTATAAAAATACTTTTTTTTTAAAAAGACGTTTTGGCTGTTAACAAGATATAATGGAACAAATAACAGGGAGACAATAATAGTGTCAGTGTGCTTGAAGTCTGTGAACGTGCCTGCGCTGTGTTAAAATGCTCTCACAAAGTGTGAAGTTAAGTGTTTATTAATGAACAGCTCATTGTGTTGGTGTGATGTATTGTGTAAATGTTGCATGGTGTGGGTTGTTAACATTAACACAATGCCATAAGGTGATAATTGTACTGTTTGAGAGCTTTAGTGCAGAATACTAATACATGTGTTTGGGCTTTTCCTTATCCAACAGGATATCACTGGGACACATCTGATTGGATGCCAAGTGTCCAACTTCCTGGAATCCAGGAGTTTCCACAGTATGAGGTTGTGGAGTCGCCCGCCCCTCTGTACAGCGACCCGAGTGCCATGGACACCGACTACTATCCCGGCGGCTTCGACATCGAGAGCGACTTCCCTCCGCCGCCCGAGGACTACAACGCCAACGACGACCTGCCGCCGCCGCCTTTGCCAGAGTACAGCGACACGCTGAGGCCCATGGGAAGAGAGTTAGACCCGTCTGGGAGCGGTCCGGGCAGCCCGGCCGGGGTCCGTCAGCGCCCGGCCCTGCCCCAGCTGTACAGCCTTAACCAGTACCTGCCGCAGCACGCCTACCCCGGCGAGGGGGGCGACAGCGAGGGCCACGGTGCCACCTCCACCTCAGGCAACACCACCCCGGCCTCCACCATGGGCCCCGGCGGCTACAGAGGGGGCTACCCTTTAGGGTGTAGTCGGGACTTTGACTCGTCAGCTCTGGACAACATGTCCCTGTCCCTGTACACGTCCACAGCCTCCTGCTCGGACATGTCGGCGTGCTGCGAGGAGTCCGAGGCGATGATAAGCGACTACGAGAGCGGCGATGAGGGCCACTTTGAGCGGCTGGCCATCCCGGCGCTCGACTCCCAGCAGCACACTGAAGTCTGACACTGGATCCAAACAAAAGTGCCTGAACCCACAGCTACACCTCATGTTAACCCCTCACACACCAAACATGCACAGTATGTGTACACAGAAAACGCAACATACACACATACATACATTCAAACACACAATGAATTGAGTCTACACACGGGGGTTGTTGAGACTGGTTGTGAGGCCAATCGGCTGAGAAGATCTCATGAAGCTATCGAAGAGACTCTGTAGCATCTTAACGTCGGATCAGTCCAACTCCTGCCCTTTTACGTTGGCGGTGCCATGCTTTATGTAACTTTCATCATGCAGGAAGTGGATTGGCTGAAGGGTCCGGATATGCATCATGAGAAAAAAATAAAAAAGAATAATTCACAATATCTCTGTTTCTATAAATTCAACCAAGCAAAATGTTTTTCTACAAGTGCTCATTTTCAATGTAAATTTAAATGTACAGTTTTGATTTCAAAGTTTACTAGGTTTTGTAGATATTCTATGCTTTTATTTTCAACAAAAAAGAGTTAAATGGTGTGACATTATCAGCCTTACTGTGCTTACATTCACAAAAAAGGAAAAGTTAAAAAAAGAGTGAGAAGAAAAGAGCGTGGCTTTTCCGAACACAGTGTACTCGTAAATCTTATTGTGTCCTGCTCATTTCAAAAAGGGTCTTCAATGAACGACTGCATATTCTTGTTGTTTTTTAATTTTGTTTGTCTGTACATTTTGACTTTGGAACCTCTTTATTTTTCCACCAAGAAAATGGGACCCAATATATTTATAGTGCAGAGTTATCCATGGACACGTGACTTTTTCAGGTGTCTATGTGTGTGTGAGCAATGCTATGGTCTTGTTAAGGTTTTTATTGAATACTGCCACAAGCTCACGCTTTCCTACTGGCAATAAATTATTCCTAAAAAATATTGAGACTGTCTGTGTGCAATTATTTCTCGACTGTCATGAATAGTTGTAGCGTTAGGCAGTAATGTGGTTGCAATAAAACTTCTGCAGCTGGTATTGTTGGTGTAAAAAGTCATTGATAAATATTTTGAAGCCTTTGAACGTCTCTTTAATTTTTGTTTTTGGGAATGGTGTGTTTATAAATGCAACAATAATTAGCTTTCTCAGAAAGTTGTTGGACTAATCAGTAATGAAAGTGATATTTAATGCAAAATGGTCTGATCAATTCCATTTTTAAAACCCTCTGGATGCACCGTTATCCGTCAGATAGTGTGCAGCAAGATGATTTAAAGGGGACCTATCATGCAAAATGCACTTTTTGATGTATTTTATAGATCATTATGTGTCCCCGGTGTGTCAGGGAACTCACAAAGTGTCAAAAGACAAAACCCTCTCTTTTCCTCCGTACCCATATCTTAAAAAAAAAACGGGGGTTCAACGGAGCTGATCCAGATTTGCGTCCGATATGACGTAATATCGGAAATGTGGGCACACAGCACTATCAGAAACGTTGCTATCAGAAACAATTCCCGACGTGTTTTGGACGTAATATGGTCTGTGTTTACATTAGCAAGCATCGCTAACACTCAGAGCTAACCTGTGCTGGAGAGAGTATGTGTAAAAAAGCAGGAAATAATAAAAGGAACTCCCCTTGTGGTAAACCCGCAAGAGAAAAAAGCATTTGAGCTCCATACTGTTTCAGAAATAATCCTTGAGATGGTTTGGAACATGATATGGCGTTTAATCACGGCAGCATTTAGCTGTATCTGCCAGTAGAATTCTGAGCAGGCATTAGCCCCCCCCCCTCTTTTTTTGTTTGTTGTCAAGCTAAGGACGCCGAACCTGCAGTTCTGGCTGAAATAGAGGGGTATTAGGGATGCCTAAAATGCATGATCTGTTTGGTATTTTGAGCAAAACACATCATAGACATGTTTTTATATATTTGAGACCCATAATATATGCCTAAAAATAGCATCATTGGAGACCTTTAAATAATGTAAATGCTTCAGTACAGTAGTGGAAACTATCCAATGGAGATAAACTCATGATCTCTCCAGGCCAGTGTACGGTCTGACAGCTCTGTGTCACCTCCTTCCTCCGACTGCGCGCTGCACTCTCGTGTCAATAAACTCTGGTTGTCTCACACGAGGTTGACAGAGTAACAGGACCCTGATACCTCCGCTCCACCTCTACAGTCTGTCTGTGATGTCTCACTGCGCTCTCTGCACTCTGCTGACCGGGTCACGGCTCCACGCAGCCACCGACTGTTCTTCCTCCCGGGCTTCCAGTGGAGGCTGACCTTTTGACCTTCAACATCTGCTGTAATTGTCTGACTATTGTGAACATGCCCCCTCGGCCTGTCTCTAATGCATCATCGCGTTATGATTAAAATACTGAAAAAAACATCAAAACCACTTCATAATGTGACCTACTTGTCAAGGGGTTTCTAAGGACCTAATGGCTTTTATTTTAATTACTAATTCACCAATGCTTGAATGACACTAAACATTAGTGAGACAACTTATGGGTTACCAGGTTTTGTTAAGTGCACTTGTAATCATAAGGTCCAATTCCAGTGAATTGTAATGACTTATTACTGTCAATTTATGCATTAAAGACTTAGAATAGAATAGGAAAAGGAACATACTGTATGTATGCATATAAGCAGTGACCTCTTTTAGGATCCCAGGTGGTCTCTCTGTGGCCTTGTTTATCAGGTGCCTAGGGGATAACGGCAATTTTATTTATTTAGGCTCCTTTATGATCTCCTGTCCATTTTTGCTGCCCAAGCTATACTTTTGGCAGGGTAGAGTATGTTAAGCCCAATGAAACCCTCTTTACAATCATAACTAATACTGATGTCTCTTTTGTTAGTGCCACAAAGATGACATCAAAGTTGGACATTTTCAAATAAACAGCAGACTAATAGATTACTGATTTATCATGTTAAACTTTAATAGACAGTTGTAAAACTTAGTGGGTCATTCATAAATTATATTAAGCATATTATCTAAATCTAACAGCCCTGCAGTTATCATATATAAACTAACCTTTTAGAAAAATGCTCATCCACTCAAATATTCTTGAACAGGGTTTTGTAATAATATTTAAGGACATAACATTTGCATTTCTCAAAAAAGGACTGTTGCTAAATCTAAAAGTACAAAATAAACCGTATTTTGAGAAACGGTGGCCAAATTTCCCCCTGCGAAATGGTATAATGTGAAGAAAACCAAGTATCCAAATATCAAACTCCAGCAGTGGTTGGTATTCAAATCACTTTGCAGCCACTCATGTGCTGCTTAATCTCATGCTTGGTGGATCCAATTAACTCTGGAAATAGCGCCAGATGTTTTTCATTAAATAAATTAAGACTTTCATACTTATTAATGTATTATTCATGGTATGGAATCACAAATGCAGCACTGTGGGAAAGGGTGTGTTCTGCTTCAGAGGATGTTATTAGCTTTCATTTGGGAGGCTGCGGGTCTGTAATACTGCACAAACACCACAAGATGGCAGCATACAACAGCCCATGAATACTGGAGGAGGACAGGATGGTTCTGAGAATTAAAAACAGTGGATCAACACAAGAGGAGAAACGAACATGTGGAGTCTCTTTAAATGATTTGAGTGGATCATTCTGGATGAATGAAAGAAAAGGCATCAATAAGCTGATTCATAAAGTTAGTATAAAAACCTGCCAAGTGTTCTTTTCATGATTTAAAAGCAAAATGTCCTCTACCTGCTCTGTCTTACAGTGATAATATTCTATTTTCTGCCCTTAAAGCCAAAAAAACACATTTCAAAATGAAAGAAAGTCCACATACCTTATTTATATGCTATCACCATACTTTATAAAACTTGTTCTCACATAAATTGTCATTGCAATCCATAGTTTGACAGCAAAATAGTTTTCTATCACTCATTAAGCTATGATATTCTGTGTGCACAAGACTGTTTATAAATGCCAGTTGATGTCACTCAGACAAAATGCTAACATTAAATACCTCAAATATTAAAGGGGACCTATCATGCAAAATGCACTTTTGTACGTCTTTTATACATGAATATGTGTCCCCGGTGTTCCAGGGAACTCACCAAGTGTCAGAAAACACAACCCTCTCTATTTTCCTCCATACCCAAATCTCTAAAAAAGGGGCTGCAACGGATCTGATACAGACTGATCCAGATTTGAACACTTCTATGTCGTCACAGAAGTGGCGCTACGGCTATTGGGCCAACTCTCCACCTATCAGGGGAATGTGGGGTTGGGCCACGGCCCGGCCATTGCCGCTCGAAAGCGCTGGAGACGCTGTAGTACATATGCCAGGCTTGTAAGTGGCGCTGCAGTCTGCCACAAAAGCAGCGAAGAAGACTTCCCGCCCATAGTTACCATGGTTACCCTTCTGTTTATTCTCCGCTGTGGCTTTTTTTCTCCCTCCCCGAGGCAAGCGTTTGCTCCCGCTGCAATGCAATCCCTCCCCGTCGAGGCAAGCACTGTAATTCTCTCCGGTTAGTCCACCAGCAGATGACAAACACCCACCTCTCCGCCTCTTCCAAGGAACGAGGGGACCGTGCGGCAGAGTTTCAGTTTCAGTTTCTTTCGCCGGTGAAGATGTCCGTTAAAGTTTAAATCTTCCGGACAAAATTAGAAAAGTGCCGGTCAAAGGTCTTCTTTGTTATTTATTGAGCTTTAAAACAAATGAATAACGACTCTATATAATAAAACACGGAGGACGGAGATCTCTTTTTCTCCCCCTCTTCTGACAGCCCAGCAGCTGATCAGAGCACGTCTCCCCTCTCCTGCAGGGGGGCGTGGTCAGCAGAATCAGACCCGTAGACAGCAAACAGCACATAGAGCGAAATGAGGCATGGCTAAAATGCATGATCTGTTTGGTATTTTGAAAACAGAAACGTATAAATATACCTTATATAGGTATGGCCCCACAATATATCATTTAAATATAGCATGATAGGTCCACTTTAAGTCAAGTAAACTGTCTGAGAAATTATTAGGGGGTGGTTTACAAGAAGAACGTTGTTTTAATATGTCTACACGTAGGCTACTGAAAGAGAGAAATCTGCCCAGCCATTCATGGGAAAAATGCTCTGAGCCCCCCCCATCAAATGTTTAATCTAGACAAAGAGACCCGGAGCTGATATAAACATGGACCCAATACAGCTGTCTGACTCAATGTTATTCCGAGCAGACAGAGAGATACCTCGGGCTGTTGGAGGGAAATAAAGGCACCTTTTTTTAGGCAGCCCGGTCACAACAGAAGCATTAGGCGAAAAAGCTCAGGAGAAAATACCTGTCAATCTGAGATGCATCAATTATTTAATTGTGGAAGGATCATTTGTGTTTGTTACCTCTGCATGCCAAGGTTTTAAAGGGAGATGAAGACAGTTTATTCAGTTTGTTTGACATAACTTAAAAACGTCTTACTTCAAAGCAAATCTCTAAGTAATGATATGATGCTTAGTCGCTGTATCAAAACAAGCTGGTGATTTTAAAATGTTCAGATAATGCAAAGGATGTGTTTTCATGGGTTAAAAAAATATGCTGTGTAACACACTTAAAGGTCATTGTAAACGTTTTAAAATGTGTAGACACAAAGCTGAAAACATGGTTATTTTAAATGCAACATGTTTCATAAAGTAAGCAATGTTATGTATTTATATAGTAGGCTTGGTTGTATGAAGACCTGGGTATATACAGGGAATGTGTCACAATCTGCCTGTGTTTTTCTGTCACAATCAGTTTTCCTGTTTTATTTTGAAAGGTGTTCACCCCCTGTCTTTTGTCTGTGGTTGCTTCCTGTCTCTGTGTTTTCCCTCCTGTTTGATTACCTGATTCTGTTCACCTGTGTGTTTTCCCCGCCCTGCCCAGCTGTGTCTTGTCCTTTGATTAGTTCTTGAGTCTTGACATAAAGGTATTTTCAGTTTAAACCATTGTCTGTCCTGCAATTGGGTCCTATACCTGCTCTGCTCAACCCTGACATTAGGGAAATAGGATTCAGCGTTGTGTGAATGGATGTCCGCATATCTCAGCCTCTGCTCTTTCTGTTTTGCTTCATTGTTTAATCTCACGCTT